AGGACTGGAGCTGTGTACCAGGGCTTCATGCAATCTGTCAAGCCTAACTTGTGTGTGTTTGGGAGGTGGGAAACACCTCAGTTGTACTGTTCCACTGAAGAACAGACCTCAGTAAGCTTAGTAACTTGCTCATGTTAATACCAGAGCCAGGAAATGCCTTCTAACCCGTTCTTAAGCACTTAACCATATGGTTCTTCCTTATGGTCCTGTCAATGAGTCTCAAACACCTTAGGCAGTGGCACCTATATATCCTTACAGATCTGAGGGTATGTTTGTTCATCCCTGATGTGATGCTCCCTGTGGACCACTCTTAACAGTGAAGTACTGTAAAAGACCCAATTCACTGCACTTAGCACTCATGTATCATATTTACAGAGGAGGAAATAAAGTTATATCAAAGCACACCCTCCATCCTACCAAAAGAAAGAACACAATAGCAGGTGAATAAGCAGGTAATATTTACTGAAATTATATGGCAGGTATCTCTGTGTAAAATACTACTGATTTACTCTGATAATATAATCTGGACAGAATAAAGACAGTTTAACAGATCAGAAACCATGTGTAATATTTAGGAGAGAAAACGTTTGCAATCATCTGGTAAATTTGTAAGATTTTGAAAACGAATTATTCTGCTTTCCACACTTTCCAATATAACTGGTATTACAGTTTTTAAGCAACATTTTATAGCCATGTAACTCTGACCAACAGAACCCTAAGATAACATTCAAACAATATTATCCTAAAACAAGAAATCATACCCATAGATCTCCTGTAACTTTGAAAGTTCTGTGTTTAACTGAGGTAGGCAAGTTGAGGAAAGATCTTCTTTAACTTGTAAGTTATGCAAATTGCGTAAATGTTTGATTTGTTTTGCTTTTTGTTTTGTTTTTTTGGCTCTTTGTACCAGAAATATTTTCAGCTTCTTGGCTCCAGGGTAGCTTTTTTACTCAAGGTCAAGTTGTTACTCGTGCTTTTAACCTTTGACATGCTGGGAATCTGTTCTGCTGAGGCATTCTAATTGCTCTTCACTTGTGCTGTCTGAGCTAAATGGATCATTGGAAGCTGAGAAAAAAGACATGCGAAGCTATCAGACCATTAATGACTGATAAAGAGAACTTAATGTTTTCTGTTCTTTTTTGGGCTCTATCATTTTCCACATTCCTTTGGATAAAATGTCGTACATTATAGTCTACTGATGTATAGCACTACAATAAACATTCTTTAGCAATACAGAACAAGCTTGACAATGTGCATACTCAAGTCTAGATTCCAGAAAATGGAGGGGACAGAGAGAAAGGACAAAACCTACAATCCATAAACAGGCTAAGAAACAATATTCTTCCTTGTTCCATTATCAAACCCACGTTTCTCTGCTAGTCTTAGACACGTCGCTGCATTTTTCTGCTCTCTGCTATTAATTCTGTCATAACCTGCTTTCTGTTTATTGACAAGCAGCCAAGTTCAATTCCTGTAGAGCTACCATACGGAAAACAGCCATCTGAGGTATTAATGGGATCTGAGATTACTCCCAGTCTTCCTTACATTCGTGTAGACCAAACTGGTCATAAAAAACAAAAATCCTCTTTGCTCTATTTGTAAAGGACGAAGCGTAGTTATAAACATAGTAATTATAAGTTCCTACATAATCATAATCATCTTCAATGGCCATCTGTCCGTTGGCTGTCCCTGACCATTTTACATCTGCAGATCCACTGGTTTCATTTCTTGATCTATGTTCTGTATCTTGGAATTTGATTCTTTACTTGCATCATTCATCGATTATCAGTTCTTCTTTCAGCATGTCCAAGCCATCCATCCACCCATTTTCTAAACGTCTTTCCAGTACAGGGCCTCAGGGGAGAGCCGAAGTCTCTGCTGGCAAGTAACGGACACCAGTCATCACAGGGCACACACTCACACCAGCGTTCATTTTTCCAGAAGCCAATATATCTGTGGACTGTAGGAGGAAACCGGAGTTCCCAGAGTAAACTCATGTGAACACAGGGAGAATATGCAAACTCCATGCAGACACCAGGCCTCAGCACTGCAAGGCAGCAACGCTAACCAATGTCCCAATGTGCCACTCCACATTCAATCCATTGCCATTCTATTCTCTTTGCTATTATGATGCTGTCACAAATCAATTTTATCTTACATTGTTCCTGGTGTGCTTTGGTTGTCTCCACTATATTAAATCACTTTTGTTATTGATTTAGCTGAGCTCATTATCCAAATGAATTACCAAGACCATAACCATATGGAAACCGTAACCCTGCAACTCACAACTGGCAACCCACTGAAGCTAAGCAGGTGTGAGCCTGGTCAGTACCTGGATGGGAGACCATCTGGGGAAAACTAAGGTTGCTGCTGGAAGAGGTGTTAGTGGGGCCAGCAGGGGGCGCTCACCCTGCGGTCCATGTGGGTCCTAATGCCCCAGTATAGTGACGGGGACACTATACTGTAAACAGGCGCCGTCCTTCGGATGAGACGTAAAACCGAGGTCCTGACACGCTGTGGTCATTAAAAATCCCAGGGCGCTTCTCGAAAAGAGTAGGGGTGTAACCCCGGTGTCCTGGCCAAATTCCCCCCCTGGCCTTTACCCCATCATGGCCTCCTAATAATCCCCCTCTATGAATTGGCTACATTACTCTGCTCTCCTCCCCACTGATAGCTGATGTGTGGTGAGCGTTCTGGCGCACTATGGCTGCCGTCGCATCATCCAGGTGGATGCTGCACATTGGTGGTGGTGGAGGGGAGTCCCCATTACCTGTAAAGCGCTTTGAGTGGAGTGTCCAGAAAAGCGCTATATAAGTGTAAGCAATTAATTAATTAATTAAATGAATTTGTGGTCCAGCGGCACTGTGCAGGAGCATTCTGGGTTAAGTGCTTTGCTCAAGGATACAGCAAGCAGTGCAGTCCCATGAGACTGGAAGCCCTGAGCCTCTCTTTACAGGTCCAGAGCCCTAATCATTACTTCACACCTTGATGTCATATCAAAGTTGATTAAATACTTGTTCATTATTTCAACAAATGTTGCATTACATGAACGCCTCACACAGTTGTAGAATTTTTAAATATTTACAAGAGTTAAACAAAATATTTAAATCTTTAAACAATTATTATTATTATTATTTGCTAACATTGTTGGAATAGAGCATTCCAATAAAGTCTGCCAATAATTCAAGCTGCTGTATACAGTAAACACAGACTTTATGACTGCATATACTGTATATAAATCACAACATTACAAACATGATATCCTCATATGTTGTAAAGGTTGGCATTAACAAAGCACATCAGCTATTGTGCTTGTCTCTTTGCAATCCAGTAATCCTTTCTGGGATAAGGAGAAATACAAAAAAGATACCTCTGGATCAACAAAATTCAACCATTTGGAGAATTTGCGATAATCTGCTGCTTCTGTTTTTCAAGTTCTGTTTCAGCTGAGACATGGGTATTATATCTAGCTCTTGTATGCTTCTGTTTGGAAAACAAATTATCCTAAGCAGTCGGTATCAAATTATGCTATAAAACATGTTGTTTCATGGTTACTTTAAAAGAGAGATTATCTAAACATCTCCCTCCCTTAAAGCATTAGGCTCATGGCATAGAACAGTGAAGCAAGTCAAAACAGTGAAAAACAAAGCTCATAACTGTAACTTTCTTAGCTACTCCCAGCATGGGACCTGAGCCAGAGAGGGATTTGGGCATTCAGACACATACAGTTTGCGTTTATTGTATATTCTTTCAGCAATCATTGCTGTCACAGTGCTTGTGCTTATCAATAGAAGAGGTTTTGAAGTCAAACAAAATAAGAAATAATGGATTGCATTTATATAACGCTTCACATTCCATAGAACCGCGAAGTCTTTATATACAGGAAGGAATCCACTTTATGCACCACTGAAGTGTGCCACCCAACTGGGTGATGTGTGGCTGCCATTCTGCACATCAGGTAGAGAAGTGAGAAGTTCCATTACCAGTGGAATGAAGAGGAGGCTATAGGCAGGCCAGATTGTAAAGCCTAAGTGAACGTTTATCAGGACACTGGTGTTACACCAAGCACTCTTGTGTTATTGATATTGTATTAATAATATTTCGACTTGCTTTCAACAATAGTTTTTTATCACAACCACAGAGGTGCTCTCTGAGCTAGAAAGGTTATTTCCTAAATGCAGTTGCAGTTCAAGCTGGAACCTGAGAAATACAATAATGACAAAAACAGTGGTAAAAAATGTACAGTCAATGGGCAGTAGCACTGTCTCTGTAGCAGAACAACACAGTTGGAATAGAAATAAAATGTATAAATGTACAAAAACCTATCCTATGCTTGTGATATTGATCCTTATTTTAAACTATTATGAAAACACTGACAGATTTCTTTCTTGTGAATGTACATTATTCACAAGATAATGTGAATGATTCAAGAAGGAAATCTGTAATACATAACAAAGAGCTGTATTAATTGGGTTTTCAAGACCTTTTTTTATGACCAAGAACATCACTCAGTTGCAGCTTTTAATTTTCCCGTTGGTGTTGAGAAGCAGAAGCTTTCATTTTTCTTTTAAAACAAGTGTCCTAAAGTTCACAGAGGCCCAAAGAAAAAAAAATAAACATGCGAAAAATCAGCATCACAGGACTGCCAGTAAGTGGCATTTTGCTCTTTTGCAGTTTGTTTTCTTCCCAGTCAATTAGCTGAAGCATTTCCTCAGATTCTGTGAAGGAAATTGAGTGTGTTAATGAATGTGAGGGTATGCGATCCTGCAAGCATGGGGCAGTTGAAGCATTCCCGTGGAAAGGAAGCTGAATTACTGTCTTACACCGCTGTTGAATAAACAATCCTTGCATGTTTAGAGAAGAATTTCTGAGGGGAGGGCTGCTCCTTGCTGGTTACGGCTCACGTGACCCCTTATTTTTCTCCTCACAGTGCTGCTCATGTGTTGTGAGAAGAGTTTGCCCCATGGGCGCCCGTCACCTGACTCCATTTTGTGTCTTAGGAATGGCTCCAGAAATCCCGCTTCTACAACATGAAGAAAAGAGGGCGGCTGCACCACTCCCAGGAGACGCTGAAGGACATAGCCAGCGGCAAAGGAGGCCTGGGCAGCACAGCCCTGCCTGGCAACGGCTCGGCGTTTTGGAAGAGGCCCCGCTGTGGTGTCCCCGATTACCCCACGCATAGAGGAGCGCACGGCGGCCACCCACGGCAGAAGCGATTTGTTCTTTTCGGGGGCCGCTGGGAGAAGACGGACTTGACTTACAAGTAAGAAGCCAGCAGACATGTCCTGAAGCAAGCGCGCCTTAAAAAGGCCCAAGCCACTGGGCTTCGGACATTTCACGTCTCCCGTTTATTCATGCAACAGCAGCTATTGAAAAGGCTGTTCCGTTACCTTATCTATTTTTCACTAGATGTTGCATGAACATGAAACATCTGCCAGTTTCAGATTTTGCCACAATAAATGAAATACTTCAGAGGAGAGAGCTCTACAGAGGGGTTTTAAGAAAATTATGGCACGTATTTGAAAAGAAACACAACGTATATTTAAAGCACAGTAACCTCTCAGACACAATGTTTAAATTTCAAGATAGGTAGTGTGAAAGTCAGTTGGGTTTCATTTATTACATGGAACACAGTTTTCCAAGCAGAAAGGACAGTAATCAGGTGAGTGGGCCCGTGGACAGCATTGTCATTGTCAGCGGTTCAGAGCAACAAAGGATTTAATGAGAAATTTAGACAGATCAGATAATTGACTAAAGACGATAACGTTAGAACAGTTATTGGGAGAGTAGACGGGCGTGATGGACATGATGTGGCAGGTCACATCATGACTTAAACCGCTGGCATCAGAGCTCCGTGGAAGGGACCTTCTGATGCACCATTGCCCACTGTGGTTCTCCTTGGTGTTTTTGTTTGTACAGCAAGAGTGAGCAGAGCACTATACAGGCATTCCAAAGCTGTCAGGACAGTCTTGTTCACTGCTTATACCCATACTGCTACAAAAGCTGCAGGAGGATTTTTTTTTTTTGCACAATAGGAAGCAAAGAAAAAAAAAACTTAAATCTTTAATCACACTAGTCCTTTTTGATACACTGTATGCATCAAATAATTAATGATTCCACAAGTTAGACCACCCAGGCTACTGCTCATTAAGAAGAAGGTTTTCTTTATACTTGTGCCAAGTAGTCATAAAGATGTCAACCTTGAAAGGAATGTGACAATCCTGAGCGCCCACCCTCTATCAGTATTCTGTCCATCTCTCTCACCAGATCGCAGCCTCTGAGCTGCAGTATCCTGCTGCTCGAGAGCTCCTCCACTGTAACCTCTGTGAGGGTTCAGCTCGAAAGCTTCTGGTCTGCTATCTTACATGATAGCATCCTCATGGCTCATTCCTTTCTCACTTGCCTGTGGAAACTCTGGTACAGTACCTTGTGGTTGGTTTTTATAAACCATCTGCTCTGAGTCTTAGGGAGGACTGTACATATCAAGCCTTAAGAGGCACAACATTGCCACATCTATGCTAATGTGTGCCGAGATACACTTAGTCACAAGTGTGTGTTGTTCTGGTTTGTATTTCACATGCACTTTTGTTCATCTGTATACATTGCAGTGCTCAGGAACAAAATGCAGAACATCCAGTTACTACTTATAACATCAGCCTGACATCCTCCAGTGTTCTTCAATGAACTGACAGGTACAGAAAAGAGAATTAAAACCTCTTAAAAGTCACAGAAGGTCTCTTAACAGCAGTATTGGGACTTCTGTGCAGTTTGTATAGAGATGGCAAAGTCTTCAAACGGCTGGACACAATTTAGAGTAATTGAACATTAAAGTCCATATGGCTCCAGTGTTAATGTATGCATCAACAGAGAAGAAGAGTTGCAGGTATTTGCTGGAAAATGTTACCAGCATAATTACATCATTTGGGAAGTGTTTTGATATTTAACTATAAGCATTACATGTTGGAGGTGTGCTTCATGTTTTAAAATCGAGCACAAGGGTCGCTTCTTGAGCTCTTGGAAATGTAAAAAAACAACTTAATAGATGCACTGTGGCTTTGCATGAAAAAAGGAAAATGCAGAATTATGCAAAGGAGAAACATACTGTAGAGGAGGGAGCAATATTTATTTAAATACATGTTGCCATCTGACTCTCATGGCTGCCAAGAACATACCGGTATTTATGCAGTAAATTAGGGTATCCAAACACTCTCAGTAAAAGAAAAGGAGCCTCAGGCACACTTCCTGCACTTAGCTATGTAGACTGAAACTCATTTTTATTTCATTTATTTCAGAACTATAATACTCTGACATCAATTGTTCAAAATACTTGTATACTACAAGAGCTAAGACAAAACAGCCGTATCAAGTCATAGACAACCTGATGTAATATAAGAGAGGTATCATGTTTTTGGAAACATTGATCATTTGCATTCCTGCAACTGAACTAATACTTTGCTGTATTTCTAAAGTATATCTACTTGAAAAGAAGCAAAGACGTACACTGTAAAGGGCAATCAGTAGATTCTTTACACCGTAGTATTTGATGACAGACTGCAGGTTGTCAAAAGGTTATTGTGTGGGCTGGTTTTTCTCCGTCTTAGAGCTCCTTTTGTTAATGACAGCTCTTCAGAGTGGAATAGCTGTGGAAAACCACTCCAATAGAAACCCACAAGTTAACAAGAGCCTGAGTGTCTGTGGTCATAAATCTGTCCCAGCATGCATCTTTAGAAAGCTCTGTGGTTGCGCAGGTGAGTGAGGGCAGTGTCCCAGTTTGGGCTTGCAGATGTGCAGAACAACGGGAAGGACGACAGTGAGAACTTGTCCTTTATCCCTCCCATAAAAATCCTAACAATAAAAGTGAGATTAATAAGGTACGAATAAAGAAAATAGGACCAAATGGGAGAAAACATCAGCTAAGTTTTCTGGCTGTTCTATTACAAACATCTTTTCACTCCATGTACCCAAGGATGCATAAAGCCAGATCCGTCCATGTATTCGCAGGCTGTTCCAATGTGGAAGAATACCACATTATAGACTAGAATAGTGTTCTTTTGCATTTCTTTTGCAAAATGACAGTCAGGCGTTTTGGTATGAGCTCCTTTTATAACAGTATGCACTGTACAGCAGAGAGCTTGAAGTCATTCTGTGTTGTGCATGAAAGAGAGGTCAAGGTTTATAAGTCACACAGGTGTCTGAACAGAGGTTGGTAATGCAGAAAGAAATGCCCATAGCAAGAATTGTGTGTTCTTGCTGTTCTACCAATCCTTAACAGCTGTGTGACCGGTAGACCCCAAAAGCAGCCACATTATAGGGTTTCAATAGTGACTAGAAGTGACAAATGTTTCAACCTCTGTGAGTAATGCATTATAATTAGAACCAACTGGCAACTGCTTTACAGATGAACACCTTTAGTGTTCTTCAAAGGCCAAGATAAATCTGGAATGAATGATGTTCAAAACACTTCATTTGTTGTGGCTTTTTCTACTCAGCCCTACTCAAAAGCTTCACCTGTTTTCAGTTCAGACCTACCAATCTCCCTTAGCCATGAATAATCTCAGGTTTCTGCGTTAAGTGATCATCTGGAGGAGGGGACTGTTATAATTTCTGATTTTGTGCAAGTCAACATTAAATTGCAGTAAAATGTTTTTTTTTAATGTCTGAACATTACAATAGTGAAAATGTATTATTATAAATGGTAAGTAAATATTGCAAGGCAAGTAGGCATTTTCATTATGTTTCACAGAAAGTCTCCTTAACTAAGTGATCTTTAACATCTGAATCATTTAATTAATTACTGATCCATTGAGGGACAGTTAACTTTGTTGAAATTGAATGGAGGTTTTAGGCTCTCCTGCTCTCACCCTGATTTGAGGGCCATTTGAACAGAAGATTTTTTCTTTTAATTTCTTTAAATGATTCAAACAGACGTTCTGTATTTTATCAGTATCACCCTAGTTAAAGTGAGTCTCAGTGTAGTTTAAAAACCAGAAAAAGAAGGGTTTTCTTCCTTGAGATTTACTTTTTAAAAATTAAGTGGATTAGAGTACATCTGCGTTTCGTTATCTCCCAATAAAGACTGACTGCCCAAAGGAAGTACTGTAACTCCGCTTTGCACAACTGAAAAACAAAAGGCTGATTCAGAACAGAAGGCATATCATATCTTTTTTTGCTCTGACACACATGCTGTGGGTTGCAAAGTTGAAAAATGTTTCCCATAATGAAAAGGATTTTTTGCTAGTTGCTTTTAGCTATATGTCAGGTATTACAGCCCAGCACGGAAAGTTGTTTGAATTGTGTGACTGGCCCATTTCCTTTCTAATCCCCCCAATAGTCTACTTTGTTGTCTGTTTTATCCTGCCAGCCTAACTGTGTGGCACAGGAATTAGGTGCTGCTGAGAGCAAAATAAAGACAGTTAGCCTGGGTTTCACAACACCAAGATCATTGCTACACCTGTCAAGAGTCCTTGGATGACAAAGCAGTTTATCATGTACGCTCGATCTGCCAGAGTCTCAGGGTTAGACTGGGTGAAGACCTCAATTCTCCTGTCTTCAGGAAACTTGCAGCCACACTGATGGTGGTTGCATTTGTGTAAGACCATATGAAAGGATACGAATGGGGCCCCTTGAGTGGCTTGACTGGAAAAGGTGCTTGTCTAAGTGCAGGCTGAGCTCTGTTGCCCAGGAGTCGTGGCTGATCTCCGCAGAGGGTAGCATGGGATTAGTCAAGGGCCAAAGGCGGACAACTCCTCCAGCCTCTAGGGTGCTCACCTCAACGAGGTAAATACCTCCTTCAGTCAGTGCTCAGTCTCTGCTGTGGGCTGTGGGGGCCTGTGGCGAGCATCTCTAAGGTGGGCAAGTCTGTGAAATCACCCCTTACTTCCTCATCCCCCTCTCAATTTGTGAAGAATACAGCTGGCAATTTCAAAACCGGCAGGGTTAGAGCAAAAACTAAATAATTTCACAACCAAGAGAAGGCCTTTTGCCTCACTTCGCTGATTTGCTTCATTTGATTGTTGATTAAAATACCTCAGCTTTTTTTAAAAGGCTTCCTGATACCCACAACTCTTTTTAGTGAAGAGTCTTCCTGTTTTGAGTACTCAATGTACATCCTTTCTATTTCCATTTGTGTCTTAAGAGTCAGTCTTTCAATATTCGTCCTCTGTTAGACCCCTGGATTGAATGCAAATACTCTGCACAGGTTTAAATACTCATATCAAGGCAAATCGTGGTATCCTCCATTCAAGATGAAAGAGATTTCAGTTCCTACAGCCTAACCGTACACAGTTATCCTTTAAAGAGCAGGAATGACTCTTGTCCCGGTGTTGCCCAGGATCATGCGCTTCCCCTGGCAGATGGACAAAGAAAAGGTGCGGCATGCATTCCAAGAGGCTCTGAGGGTGTGGAGTGAAGTCACCCCACTGACCTTTACAGAGGTCACCAGCGGGAGGGCTGACATCATCATTGACTTCACAAGGTAAGGTGAAACCCCGAGAAATCTTATTGGTGTTGCGCAACAAATCACTGCCCCAGCCCAAAGCTGCTAAACAGCACGCTGGAGGAAGCAGGTATCAAAATGGTACCAAGCAGAAGAAATGGCTTGAAGTGGCTTGAAAGAAGGGTTTGGCGTGCCTTTTCAGAAAAATGCAGTTGTTTATTATCCTTGGCAGAGAGTTCAAAAACAAAAACCTTCCAAGGGTTGAGTGCACACACCAGCGCTGGCTGTGTGCATGTCACACTCGTCTGTTTTCATTGGACAGCGACTCAGAGATGTAAAGCAATCGGATAGGAATATTTCTCGGCTGAAAAGCCAAGGCTGCCTCACACTTCTGGCATCTGCAATGTTTATCTAAGATTGTGACAGCTCTGGAACAGCTTATGCATGTTTCAGAACACTTTGAACTGTTGGTGCTGTGGCCGAGGAGCTACTTCTTAGAGGACTGAAATAAATACTGAGAAAATAAACTGGGAAGTATTGTTCATTTCTCCAAAACTTTTATCTGCTAGGAGGGAATTGACCTACTAAAGAGCCTTCATTTTCTAATGTTTCACCTTAAACCAGATCTTAACACAACTCAGCTATGTGCAACAAATATTCAAATAGAATGAAAGTAGTGCATTTTATTCAAACCCTTTGTATTTTAGATTAATAACAGGCTGGCTGTTTTATTGAATTTGTATATGCTGTAATATCTGATGGAGTTTAGATCTGTCTCTCATTAGCATGCAGTACCGCAGGTTTCCGAAACAATAATATCAGGAAATTAAGGGAACCTGGAATTACAACGATAAAATGAAATAGAGTTGAGATGATGTTACAAACTGGACTGACACAGCATTTTTTACACTTCCCTTCTCTAAAATGAATTTATCTGGTACATCAGACATATTAACTACGCTGTCCCGGTTCAATACTTTCACAAGCAAATACATATTGCGTCAAGAGATATTGCAGAAAACTGCTGGAAGACTTACCCACAAACCCCTCTGTCACCGCTACTTTTCCCATCATGCATTAAAAATGCAAAAGAATAGCTTGAAAAGGCCACTCTTTCTCGTGAGATAATGTACAGTAAGTATGATGTTGCTTAAAATGGATTACTGATCCACATGTGGTCCGGAACTAGTCCTGGTATTTAAGTGGGGAAAAAAGAACCTGTTAAAAGGAATTCTGCACGATCTCAGATTTGTTTTATTCCAAAATACTCTTATCGCCTCATCTTGAAAACCTTGTGTGAGAGTGTGCCAAAAATTGCTAAACTGATGAGTTTATGCATGCCTAAAGGGTGCTTGTGGCAGCATCAAAGTGAGTATGTTGGGGAATTTGTCACTTTGAAAATGGAACAGGCCAGCAGTGCTTGTTTATATGCGTCGGCCCCGTTATTTCAGATGATGGTCTGGATCTCTGCCTACTCCTAACGAGGCTTTCTGGGCAATTTCACCAACTAGCTTTTTGCTGATATAACTACACTTTAAGGGAAACGCCAATTTTGCAAATGTGCTTAATGTGTTGCTAATGCAAAACTGTGAACAAAAAGGCACTAACTTGAGGACAACATAAAAGACATTCTAAATGTTTCCTGCCATGCCGCTTACACAGCAAATGGGTGATATACACGTAACAGCATTTAAAGCAATTATGTCAGGTTTCCATGTAAGAAATTACTGTTTTTCCTACCACAAGCTATTGATATTTTTAAGTACCTTGCTACTGCTAAATACTGGAATTTCACAGCTGCAGACCAAACTTTTATGTAAAAACCAGGTTTAAAAAATGGGGGGATTTTCACAGCTTTGTAATACTTGGCAAATGATGCTGAAATTATTGGATTAAATTAAAACATTCAGGTACAAATCTAGAAATAGAAACAATGATTGGTAAATCAATACGATACAATAATTCCTTGTATTTTAACTGTGTGTTTCATGATCCCCAAGCATTTAACATATAGTAGGAGATCTACTGTACTTGACCCATCACTCACCTGAATGACAAACAACTGCCGTTATGCACCATTAGCCCTGCTACACAACATGTCAAGTGGAAACGTGAAAAATCACTTCACCACCTGAAAGATGTGGAGGATTTTAGGATTAATACTGTATCCCAACTCTTACTAACAGTACCATAGGTTTTTGATTTTTCTTTGCACTTTCTGTTAACATTTAACATCTTCCACCCATTACAGTGTTCAGGTTGAACATTCAAGTTTGATTTAAACAACGTGTGTGCATTGTTTATAATTTTAAGACAAATGAAACTACATTGGGACAAAGTGACTGTTTATATAATGCAGTGTACTGTATATGGGCATGGAAAATATTTTCACAACTAAAAAGAGTAAAATTTGTGCTTCAGTAAGGAGTTTTAAAACAGATGAAATGAAAGAATAAAATATTCATTAGTATATGTATTCATGGTTCTGTACTCTGATATGCTTATATACAGTATATGGTCTACCTTTTTTCATCCAACTGCAACTGCACCCAAGATATGGACTTGAACTTCACATTCAAAGAGTTCAAATTATATAAAAATTATACTTAAATGGAAGCAAGACACATTTTGTTCCAGATTAGGACAAGAAAAAGAGATCTTGCTTGAGAAAAAGTGCTCATAAATGGAAAAGGCAAGAGCAAGGCCCAGGCGTATTGATATCTCCCAGTGATTTCTAACCGTCCAACCTGTCCACCGACTGTACCCCCAGATACTGGCATGGAGACAACCTCCCTTTCGACGGCCCAGGTGGAATCCTGGCCCATGCCTTCTTTCCCCGAACGCACAGAGAAGGCGACATCCACTTTGACTATGATGAGACCTGGACAGTCGGCAACAGTATGGGTGAGTGTGGGGTCTTGGCAACATTCAAAAAAGCATGCATATCAGGAGCACATTCTGCAAAGCAAATGTGTTGCAATTTAGAGCTCACTTCGATATGAGTGTTTGCACTTGTGTCTTCATTTGAACTCTTGTGCTCGGCCACTCGTACATAAATGATCCCAACATAATCTCAACTAGCTAATCCCCAAAAGATCGTATTGAGGCATACTGTATTGCATGGGCTTGTTAGTTTCTGACACATGTGCAGCACCCACCCTTAAAGTAGCTGCAGTGTTGAAACACCACACGGGTTATTCTGTAAAATGACCCAGGTGTGTGGAGATACAGCCCAGTGTTATGACCTTTCCTGAATGCAATCTAATCATCATTCAAAGAAAAAAGAAAGAGGAATTTCTGTCAAAGAAAAGATGAGGAACATTATCCGTGTCTCTCTAGGTGGGCCACGAAGCTTTTCTTTTTGAAATTTTTACACTGTGACTCACTCCAAATCAAAACAAGCATACACGTGACTCAAAGTAACATGTGTTCCAAAAGAATCTTAAAACATCAGCACTAACAACATCAAGGTGCACAAGCAGACAGCAAAAGCCCTGAGCTGTCTACCATTGACAGAAAAAGTATATATTTTAATTTTCTCCCCCTCACTTCAATGATCTAAAGCCACTCTGCATGGCCACAAAAACATATACCTGTCTCGTCAAGTTCTGGTAAGGCAAGTCAGCGAAAACATGACACTTCCTCTTTCTGCCTGCTGCCAGGAACGGACCTGCTGCAGGTGGCTGCCCATGAGTTTGGCCACGTCCTGGGTCTGCAACATTCTCTTGTGCCTGGTGCGGTGATGTCACCCTTCTACAGCTTCTCCTACCCCCTGGCGCTCAGTGACGATGACAAGCAAGGCATTCAGTACCTCTACGGCCCGCGCCAATACAGTGAGCCCCAGACCACCACTATGACCAACGAGATCATCGTCACTACAGTGAGTGGCCATATGACAGGACTATTAGCATTTGAGAAGTACAGGTGCTTAAATTCCAGGGTCACTAAGACCACAGTCATTGTGTGTAGGTAAGTACAGTAAGCCTATCTTGAGATTGGTGTGTGTGGCATTACATGGGGTGTGTCCAGTGTAGATGCAGAGCCCTGGATTAAGGGCGACAGATTGCTTTAGCAACCACAGCAGACCTGGCTAATTTAGGACGAGCCGCAGCTGGGGAGACCTTTTAAGACACACTGAGCACTTTCCCGGAGGGACAAGCAAGCAGGACCCCAGCCCTGAAACCCTGCAAGGGGATAATATTACAGCGACAGTCCCAGCAAGGATCGTGAAGAGAACGTTGAGGCTGCATTGCTGCTTATTTTTCTTTTCTTTTCTTCTGTCCCGGTGTGAGGATTCACTTGGGCAGGTTGAATTTTGTCCTATTTTTGGCCTCACTCTACTTTTTCTGCAGTGTGGGTCCCACTAAACAGGGATAGACCAGTCTGGATGCCGCTCTTCCAAGTGGTGCATTTTTCTTTTTTCATTTTCCCCTTTTTTTTGTTTTTCCCCCCTTTTGCAGACCTACACTGGTACCTCCACCCCCTCAAACTGGGGGTTAACTTTGACGGTATTCGCCGTGGCTCCTCCCAAGAACCTGCATCGTTACATGTGCTAACTTTAAAATAATTTAAAAAAACTATAGGGAGGTTCATGCTGTAGGTTTAATACAACACATACGAAATGTCAGCTTTAATCTCACCTTCCAATCCATCTTCAGTCCAGGTAATATAAAGTAAATCTGAGACACAAATTACAGAAGACAACTGCTCCCTCATACGGTTTCAGAAGCTACATGCAAACTCAGCAGGCAGAATTCCAGGAAGCTGAGCTGTCTATCTTTTCATCTAGAAAACAGCTTCCTGCACACAGCATTTGCAGTGATCAGCCCTTATCCTGGAGCTCCTCTGTCCTTTTATGGACATCTTCAAGCAGTACCTAAGAGCATGCCAATCTCGACAGATTAATGCCAATAAAAAGGCACACCTAACATAGACGTTAAACAGTCAGAACTGAAGAAACGAGGAAGTGCTAGAAGACAAAGACCAAAAACACTCCCAACTACAGGACCATTCAGTCTCTCCTCACCTGATTGACATTGGAGTGGGCTTCCTTGGTCTCTCCCCAGCCGAACGCCTGCGACACGGACTTCGACGCCGTGTCCATGATCCGGGGCGAGCTCTTCTTCTTCAAGTCCCGCTACGTGTGGCGCATCCGGGCCGGGCGGCTGCAGGAGGGGTACCCCGCCCTGGCATCGCGCCACTGGAGGGGAATTCCAGACCGCGTCGACGCGGCCTTTGAAGACGGCTCCGGCAATATTTGGTTCTTTCAAGGTGGGCAGCAGCGAGAGGCCCGTCTCTTGTAGCTGGAGGTTGTTTGTAAGAGGGCAAGATCGGGCAAGCTTCAGGTGGAGAAGGAAATGCCCTGCCCCCCAAGCCCAACTTTTCAAAGATGCCAGACAGCTTTGAACCAAACTTTCTCGTGTTTATTTGGATACTGTAAATCATAGAAAACAATAAGATCTAAAAAACGAGGTCTAATTAAAATGTTAGAATCTGCAGGTGTGCCAATCCTTTGTTCCTTACAAGTACTCTGTTTTATGTTGTAAAACTATTTTGACCTGTCAGACAGCCAAAGTTTTATTACAGATAAGTAGCTTCCTTACACTAAATTCCACATAATGGTTTCAAATTATATTACTAGATTGAAGTTTTCTAAAAAAACATAATATTTTATGTAGTCAAAAAGAAGGGGATGCTTATAGTGTGTTATGAAGTCAGACTTAAAATCTCTGTCTGTAGTTTGAGCCAGGACTGTTTTTTTTTTATTCCAGAGCATTATTACCTAAATCATTATACCTCTTTCACAATTTTCCTATATTCAAGAGACTCAAAACTGTGGTCATGATGCTTAACTTAAGCTAGATTTAATGGTATATTTAAAATCCACAAGATGGAGAACTGTTTCACAATGTTTAAGATTTTAAAAATAACACTTTAGAGAAGTCCTTTGGGTATCAGTCATATAAATGTAGTCATATACAGTAGTCAAATTCAATAATTGCAAAATTGGTTAAAACAAAACTGAATTTCTCAATTGCCTGCTCTGCATTATGATGCAGCTGCTATGATATTTTGCTTAGGTTTTTTGAACCATCTGTCTTGTCTTAATGGTCTCTGAACCTTGGATGCCACGTTGTCCTAGCCCATTCTACAGATGTTTGAGAAGGTCCAGTCTAGCCAGTAGGGCACAACCATCACATTCAGTAAGTCATAACCAATCAATCAAAACGAGGCCAAAGCACGTAATCACTATCCAGAATCCATATGCTTAATTTTGCAATGGATTTATACTGTATATGCACAGCAGTTTATTTCAATGTTCAGTATATTTATACATTTTTAAACTTTTCATTAATTTCATTTGCATTTTCTTCAGATATACAATAGTGATAATAGATTTTTTGGACTCTACTTTCCAAAAATGCAAGTCACGATCTAGAAGTAAATCAAATACAGTAATATTCCACAGAGCACAACACCTGTTACATGATCAGAGGTCTGCTTTAGTTTTGTTTACTCTGGAACACATAATAGCTCATGTATTTTATCAGGGATGTCATCACATAATATTTCATGTAACATGCCGTTGAGGTTTCTGCAAGGTTCAGTAAACTTACGTTTGTACTTTAATAAAATGCATCACACTCATGTGTAATATCAGGAAAAACAATAGCCGTGAGGTGAATTCTTCACAGTGCAGTTTTATTGAGTTGATTGAAATTAAATATTATCAGTTTGAAATGAGCTAAGAGTTTATATTTTCAGGTCCCAGTTCCCTTGAATTACTTACTGTGGCTCAAAGTAATCATTAGCACTAAGACCCAATAACTTGGACCCAAAACCGGGAACTGTATTTCTTGACAAACGTCACAAAAATTACTAATAAGTGGCAGGGGTCACGCTTGACAATTTACTTCTGTATGAAAATGTCATGTTTTAAAAATGATGTAACACGTACCGTAACTATGACTGAATTAACGAGTCACTGTAGGCTTTTGCAGGAAAGAGAGCGCAAAAAAGATTGACTACGTTTGTGGTCTGACTTCAGGTCATAACTACTGGGTGTATGATGGGGAGAAGCCGATCACTGGCCCAGACTCAGTGAGTAGCCTGGGGCTGCCCATCTCTAACATCCAGGCCGCCCTGATGTGGGGCGAAGACAAGAACAAGAAGACCTACTTCTTCAAGGGCAGCAGCTACTGGCGCTTCAACCCCACAGCCAACCGTGTGGACATGGTCTACCCACGCAGCTTAGCGGACTGGAGGGGCGTCCCTACGAGCATTGATGCCGCCTTCCAGGACAGCTATGGTAGGACCTCCTCCCTGCTCTCCAGCTCACGATCCGAACTGCATCCCTAAAAAAACACTTTTAGAGATCTTTTCAAACAACCTGAGGAAAGAGCTAATCCCATTTAATGACACAATGAATTGCTTTCATTTTGTGTAATGAATAACACAGGAGGAAATGCAATCCAGAGCACACAGTGGCTCTTGCGGACCTGTTTCAAAATGTTTCAGTTCAAACTTTATAGAATTATAAACCTTAATCTATACGATAATTATTCAATCCTATTAAATATAGTCAGAAGTGCTATACGTAAAATGAAACAGCCAGAGCAAGTTGCTAACCCTAGTATAGGCGCAAGCAGACTTCTTCCTCAAAGCTGGGACACAGTAAACAGGAATGTCAGGGGGGCAGCTGAGCTCTCGATGGGTTTCCATGCCAGAGGTAAGAATGTCAGGGAAGGAGGCAGCCAAAGCACTAAGTTCAGATACAGAAACAAAAAATAATTCTTAGGAAAAAAATCAGAGTTTCTGAGAAAATTGTTTTCTGTTCTTAGCTATCTGGCACATCAGCATAGCATGAACAACACCTACGTAGGCAGGACATGTTTTAGGAAATGCGATAAGAAGCAAAACTGGAACGTGGAGATAACACACTGTTCCTTTGCGGGCAGCTGGTGAGTCTTTGAGTTTGTCTGCTGATTTTCTGTTCCTTTTCAGGCTATGCCCATTTTCTGCAAGGAAGGCAGTACTGGAAGTTTGATCCTGTGACAGTGAAGGTCCTGGATGGATACCCACGTCAGATTGGAGTGGATTTCTTTGGTTGTCCTACGTCCAATAATTACCGATAAGAACACCGCTATCTGAAGGGAGCAACAACACAAGAGACTTTCTGTGCAAAAGGATGTGTAACAGTTCATGTTTTTTGTACTGGTGCTAATTTTAACATTCTAGCCTCAGTTTTGTGACCTCATCCTTTCCTGGGCATGTTCTCAGTTTTTATCAAGGTCTTCCAACCCTATTTTTTTTACAGTCAGGCAATCTTGTTACAATATAAGTAAAGTATTTTCAAAACGACATATTCTTCAAACTATGGAAAACCAAACTTATTCCTTTAAATATTAATTAACTGCAGTCCTTCACACTGCAAGAAGACCCAGTTGGATTTTGAGTTTTTTTGCACTCTTCCAACTCAGATTACCAAGTAACACTTATTTCTGCTGTGAAATCCATGCTATGCTCTGCTAATACTGTAAACCTTTACAGCTTTTTTTTTTGCAGTCTTTCAACAAAAGGCCCAGAACTCAAAGGTATAATTTCATCTCAGGAAAATAATGCATTAGAATACACAATGAGTGGGTCATGTAGCAGTTTTTGTTTAAAGACAGTATTTCCCGTTTTTTATAATCTATCATTGTGCAACCAATATTCAGGAAAAGGGAATCTGATATATTTTTTCAATATCTCAGAAAGTGCAGTAATGTTCATGAACTAGTCAGTAGCTCAACCAGCAATTATCTTCAGATACCCTGGATTTCAGCAGTGACCCTGTAGCATCCTAATCCACATTTAAAGTTAACTCTAAATCACCACTTTCTTTTCTTATTGAACTGTTCTTATTGTTCAAGTTATTGAATAATGAAACCAAGTTGGATTAAGGTGACTCCTATCCTTGAGAGTTTTCTCTGTAAATTGCTTGATTTAACACTCCATATGCAACTGATCCCAAACAGACCTATAGTTTAGTTCTAAACCTTTAAGAGTTGATGAATTAATGGTGATCTAGAAGACCTGTTGAACAGAGGCCCGTCAGAATCTAGGCTGGAGATGCCTGCCTTCAAGTATCTAGTGTATCCACACACCATGATCCAGGATACCTCTCAGCAGAAGAAAATTTCCCTGTATATGAGATTGTAAATCTGGAATGGTTATCAGTTCCATCTGAACATGATTATTCTTTCTGATCCACTTGGACACATTGATTCTAACTGCCATTTGGGCTCACAAGACTCATGACTTACATAAATCACATTTGGTAGCTCCAGGACCATTTACACAGAACGCATAATAACTGTATACATGACTAAAACTATGTATGAGAGTGATGCAGCACATTCTGATCCAAAAACAGATTTCCCCTTTTTAACATTTGTATTTAGACTCGGTGTTTGAATGTGATGTACAACTATTATTATGATGCTGGGAGGGTCTGTTTTAATGATTTAACTGTATCTAAGATCTAAACCACACAGAATAAACAATACAGATAACCTGTGTTTGCATAGGAAGAAGAAATACACTGTAAGGTTTTTAACAGACCTTGTGCCTGAAATATTATCAGATGAGCCCTAGTCGAGATACTGTATTGATCCTTGAAATGTAGCAGCATAAAATCTGTATTTTCTACAAGTGTAACACTCTTTCTAAAACTGACTGAGCTTCAGGGTGTTGTGCTTGGAAAACCGCCATACTTATTCAATTTGATACTGTAAAGGAGGAAATGAATTAGGACTGTAAACATGATAGATTTTCAACTTTTACACTGGGAACTATCCACAAGTACAGTTATAATTCAAATGCATTTTTAATAGATCAGTGTGATCCATTATCCATATTTCCTTGTCAATATTCCATATTCATTGATATCCGTGATGAATACCCACATATCTGTGAATATTCCCAGAAAATCCTTTTCCAAAGACTGTTTCTAAAAAGTGCCCTAAGTACAGGAGGCCTTTGGGCAAATGCAAAGTTTGATCATTCTTTCTGAAGGCACTTAAACTAATGTCTCACACTTGAGACAGAACCAAGTTCTCAGAATATCTGTAATACATTTCTGCCTTTGTGAAAAAAGGCCTTTCAGAACCAAAGCATTTGCTCTTTCGCAGATAACAAATGGCATGGTCTATCAGTGCAGGACACTGATCATTTATTTTCTCTAATGTCTTTTTTGTACTGTGTTATAATACTATGTGATAGCAGTATTCCACTTAGTAGGGTAAAGAGCCCTTCAAATGTCTTAGAACAACTAGATAAAATCAAGTCTGTAACCATTTAATTTCTCTAGCACTGGTAGTCTTGGCTACAGATTTACACCTTAGCACATAAACACTGTACAGCACTCGTTCACTGTTATTTTTAACTAAAGATCTCCTGAAATGTAACTTTGATCTTTAACTTAATCATCCACATTTCTTATGATTGTGTTAGCCCAAATATATTTACTGTGTAAATACATCTGTATAAATTCCAGTACAGTATTTTTGGTACGAATTAAATTGGTTGTTTTTTCCCATATGTCTGGTGTTTTAATGGCATTTACACAGTTTAAGGTCTACTAGACACAAAGCAATTATTTTAAGCATTTTTTTACAAGACTATACTCTAAAACATACCAATCAAAGAAAAATCAAAGGTTATCCAGGTCCAAACAGAAATTTATATTACAGTATACACAGTTTATTGGATTGGTATTAAAACTGAAAAGGAAACACAAAAAACACATATTCATACTTACCATTGTCTTCATTTAGACATTATAATAATGGCAACAAAGGATTTAAGGATTTTCAAATTCAAGAAGGTATATAAAACTTTTATACCAACCACACTGTTCAACTCACCATATAAACCCGCAGTACAGAAAGGTATTTACTGTATGTAATAGCATAGAAAAGCGGAGTCTCTCGGAAAAAGACTTTTTGATTTTTGGTTGACATATTCAGTTTTATATTCAGTGTAAACTAAGCCAGTATGTCAGATTTCAGTGTACGTAATGGACTACCACCAACATCACAGAAACCTGGATTGCTTGGTTTACTCCTTCCAAAAATGGTTTGATGCATAAGTTTTCTTAAAGAGAAAATGTATTAAGTTGTATTTTTGTTTTTGACTGGCTGCATGGCAGCAAATGGGAGCATTTGTCACAACAGAAGTTCAAATGCCGTGTCAAACAAATCTATTTTCGTCATTAGACAGATCTTTCAGCGTGTTTCTGTTCATTTATCCACGCATCCCTGCTGGCTCAGCTGCCCCGTAGCTCAAAATATTTAAGATTCGAGAGGCGATTATTAGGTTGTTGCCACACTCTCGAAGTGAATAGCGACGGTTCGTGATAGTTTTTACAATTTCCATCTATTATTTTCGTCATTAGATCGAAATTTCGTCATTTCTTTTGGGCGAACTGCCCCTGTTGCCTCATTGGTCCAGGTATTAATAGAGAACCGCTTCATGTTTGGCTTAAATTTCCACCCACGTGGAGGAACTCAGCTGATCGGTCCCGCCTCCCCGATGACAGCTCATCCTTTTCTACGCTCGCAATGGCCACAGCTCCGGTCAATCAAGCGTTCTCGATCGCCGATTGGTTTAAATCTCCCCCCAGCCCAGGGGTCTTTCACTGCATGTCGTGTCCGCTTTCTTGAGGGACACAGTTATCAGCAAGGGATTGGCTGTCTGGCGAGTTCATCGCCGTTTCCATTCGTCATTGATGGTTTCACTCTCTCTCCTGTCACCCCCCTGGCTTCGGATGAAATCGCTGATTGGCAGCAGCGTGTCAGTGTGGTTTAAAGGGACCGCTTCTAGTAACAGTTGGTGGCTGTTGAACAAGTAGAAGACGGACTAAAAAAAAAAACAAGAAAATTCGCGATGGCTCACAGCTTCACGCAGGAGTATCTCCAGATCCCCGCTGTGACTAGGGCTTACACTACAGCCTGCGTGTTGACCACGGCCGCGGTGGTAAGATTGCAGGGGACTGGGATGCTGTCATATTTCACGTTAGACATGAAGTTGCACTGGGGGAAGTATCTTATTGCTGTTGCTGCAGAATGAACTGTTGTTTCATATTTGTTGCATTGGGGGGGGAATGGAAAATAATCTGTATTCTGGGGTAACGTACAAGGATAATCATACTACATTGAGTACGTGTCCGGATGGAAGGGTAGTGGGCTGGACACATGATTTCTGTTCCTTGCTTCAGGTCTAGAGCTAAGTGGGCCTGGATTACAAGGAAGTGGTATTTTGGCTGGGATTTGTTCGCCTCCAGTATTTTAATACTACCCTCCCATAAATCAATGAACCTGCCTAAGAGCTCGTCTCATAACTACTACTGCTGCTGTCATATCCCCGTTGCTGAAGGGTGGACGACCTGAAAAATTGGGTTAGCGAGCAACTGAGTTCATCGTGCCAGGACCAGTCAAGATGAGCTGGTTTCGCATGGCGTGCTTTGAAATTGGCCATAACGCCACCTTTTACACGCACGTGACTTGCTTCACTGTCCCAATACTTTTTATTAGTAAAATTTAAAGATATCGTGTAGGGATGACATTTTTCCGTTATCACACAGCCATCCTAATTATCGACTATCCTCGAAGTGTTATTAATAACGTTAGCCCTGGATCAGAATACTAGGTGTATATTTTTGCAAGACCATGAAAGAAGCATACCGTGGTAGGCTGTTTGAAAGTTACAAAGATTTATCCAATAACCTTATATTATTGATTTTTTTTTCGATTGCAGCAGCGGAGGTCGTGTGAGTTTTATGCTTGGAGGTCTGTCGTGGGTAACTGTGGTTCAACAGCACCTGTTGTCAAAAAGAATCGTCTCGGTTTAATGGTTAATAATGTTGTTGGACAAGAATGTAGATCTAGAATCTGTACAGTCAAGCGATAACAGTAGGGGACTGGGTTGCTTGCAATTAAATGCACTGGTGACATGCATGAAGACTGCTCGATTGATTGGTTTAATCCTCTGGATTTTAGCAGCTGGAGTTCATCACCCCCTTTCAGCTATACTTCAACCCTGACCTGATTTTCAAAAGATACCAGGTAGGAAACAACAGCTTTCAAGCACAAGATCTTGAATGCGTCTTCATTTTCAGTAGCTAACATTCTTCAATTGTGAAAAGCATATCAATAATTAGTCCGTCCAAACTCTGCTTTCTGTTTTTCATTTGCTAGGGTGATTGGGAATAATTCCTTTCCCCTTAATTTAAAAAAAGGCTGAACCTCCAGTGTTGTATCTGAAGTTCAAGAACTTTGCAAAATGATGAACATTGTGTTGGAGAGTTCAGTGCAAGTCATTGCTAATATCCCAGACTAACAGAATCTGAAAGTCAATTGTGTGGGGCAGAAATTTGGGACAATCATGTGGTGTTCTCCTATTTGTGTTTGAAAAATATATGTATTCAGTTTAGCTTTTAAAGATGGAAATGGAGGCATCGCTTAGGAAGAAGGGGACATATCTGTAGGACTGGAATTGGGAAGTTGGTTCGGTGTTCTTTTGTCTGTTTTTGAAGTGTGGGGTCCTATTGCTGTTAAGGCAAAAAAGAGGGGAGCTCATAAGATCACAGTTCAAAGTGTAAAGAGCAAATAAAAATAGGGAGGTCATAGGAAGGGTTTTTATTTTGTTGTTTTTATATTAAAACATACTTATAGAGATTAAATCAAACTTATTACCCAAACCCAATATTTCAAGAGTTTCAACCATCACAATTGTTTTTAACTTTCCTGTTGCCTGATAACTCATGATTTCACTAAAAACTGATGGCTTTGCTTTCTTTTTAATAGATATGGAGACTGATAACCAACTTCCTCTTTTTTGGTCCTCTTGGCTTCAGCTTCTTGTTCAACATGATATTTCTGTATCCTTTTCTTGTTTATACTATTTAGGCCTTGTATTCATGGAGTGGAAAGTCAGTCCTTTTGTGGTAAAACCACTTTTTCTGTATACAGAAAACTGGGTTATGAATAAGCATAGTTCCTCTAAAATTAATAGATTTAATTTTGGTTTATCAGCACTGTCATTTAAAAAAAAGCATCCAGCAACACCTCCGTAGACATTTATTCCCCCAGATGGCTGCACACAATTTGCATTTGGATGCAGTAAATATTCAAATTACTTGAAGCTTTGTTAAAACCAAGGAAACGATACTTTTGCCCTTTGCTTTCATAACCTGAAAATATAAAAGTACTTTATCAGCTTTAATCAGTAGCTGTAGATGGGGAGGGGCGGACCTTGGTAAGAATCATTTGAGATCAGTCCTCTGAAGAAGCATATAGTGTGTAGATTTATTTCTTATAGTTTGTACCCTTGATTGCAATATTGTGAAAAATTGGAGCCTCTGTATTTGTGTTAGCAACAATGCAGGAAAACCCTGTGTCTTTCAGTACACGTAGCTGTTTTTTGTATCATGAGAAATTTGCATAACTGTCTCTTGGTTTCTGCAGCTGGTAGGTCTGCCACAGAAAGTGTTTGCTTCCTTTACAAAGCAGGTACCGCTACTGTCGCATGCTGGAGGAAGGGTCTTTTCGTGGCAGGACTGCAGACTTTGTCTTCATGTTCCTCTTTGGGGGCATGCTGATGACTGTATCCTTTCTCGAGTGTTGACCAAGCACAAGGGAGACCTCCTGTGCACATTATCTCTACTGTGGTGAGGGAGTCTGAACAATGAGCTAAATACAAGCCACACTTGTATATATCTAAATGTATGTCTTGCGGGGAAAAAAAAAAAAAAAAAAAGATAATCCAGTATGGTGAATTACATGTTATATCCCACCTGATTTGGAATATCGTGGTGAACAGCCATAATTCCTGTGACTGCTCACAGGAGAAAATGAGGAAGTATTGGACTCCTCCACCCTGCCCAGAGATGTAAGAATGTCATTAATTAACAGAAAATCACATGAAGGGATAGTTCATTTGGAAAAGCAATTTTATGTACTTTAAAATGATTAATGCAGAATGCCTCTTTGTATATGACCAAACCCCCAAAACCTTGTTCACCCCTTTATCATTGTTTGTTTAATTATCAGCCACACACATGCAAAAGTCTATTTCAAGCCAGTGTGTTATCCTTGACTCAGTGGTTATCAGCTCTTTGGCCTTTTTGCTAGCCTGTTTTTCCTTGGGCAGGCTTTCACCATCATGCTAGTGTATGTGTGGAGCCGTAGGAACCCCTATGTGCGCATGAACTTCTTTGGCCTGCTCAACTTCCAGGCCCCCTTTCTACCCTGGGTGCTCATGGGGTTTTCCTTGTTGCTGGGCAACTCCATTGTCATTGACCTTCTAGGTACATTCCCAGCATTCTGTGCACTCCCATGGTCCTCCCTTTCTTGTTTGGAGAAAGGAGAGCCGTCTGGGAGGGATTAAATTGTGCTAAAGGGGATATTTCTCCAATTACGTGAAGAATAGTTTATATTCTGCATCCTGCTTGGCAGGAGCTGGCAAATTCTGAATTAGATATTCCATTCTTCAAAGAAAACAGAGCCTCAGCTGGGTAAAAGTAATTTCATTTTTTATGTGTTCTCTTATAGTGATTGTAAGTACCCAAGTGCTTTCCTTTTGTAGTCTCCCTGACCCTCTGAAATGAAGAAAACCCTTGCATATGATGTTTTTGTGATTGTTTCAGAGCTGCCAGAATAGACTACAAATTGAATGTAAACCTCCCATGTCTTGTGTTTCCCAGAAAAGCAATTCCGATCTGTGGGATTATGGCTGAATACCTCCATGGCAGAAACCCCCCTAAAAGATACTTTTAGACAGTTGCTATCATATCCAGAAAACTAAGAAAGTATTTTAAAAATGTTACCAGAATGACTATGATTTTTCTCATAGTTTTTCATTGTTGTGAAAGGATTCAGAATCTTTTATATGGATTTTGCCCCCTTTTATTTGAAAGCTGGCATGCAGTAAATTCGACGTGGTTTCCTGATTGAGTACAGATGAATGTAATACTTCCTTTTGTCGTTTGATGTTGGATGGAAGGGAGGAAACAGATGTTCTATTACATTCTGGCCAAGGGGGAAGTCCATTCTGGATCTTGGTTTAGCTAAACAGTGAAATGACAATTTGAAGGAAAAAAAAAAATCACAGCCACCTGAATTCTGTAACCGTTAGGTCTTCCGATGGCTGACCTGTCAGCACTGCATTACTGCTCTGCCTTCATTCTCTAACCTCAGGGCTTCCCTTTGTTATATCACTCTGATGACAAGCACCTGGCTTGGAGTTCAAGGAACAAGCTGGAGAGGGAGTGGGGGACTATGTATTTAATGCAAGGGATTATAGGGTTGTCTGTAAAGGCATACTTTAAAGAGTGGTGCCAGTACACCTGTTGCTTACTGAATTTGAAATTCAAAGAGGATAATTTAAGAAGCTGATGTGCTGCTGTGTATTTTCAGATTAGGGGCAGTTTATTTTTTCCAATTCGATAATGAGAGATTTTGTGTGTGTATGTTAAAACGCAAATTGCTCGATATCAGAATTTCAGTGTTTGCCAGCGGCTCTGGGCAAGTGATTAGGAAGGAAATGTTGGGGGGGGGGGAAGATGTTTTGACATCTGTCAGATGTCAAATTTGTAAAGCAAGTACAAATGGCAGCATTGGTCCAGGTCTATTCTGATATTTTTAAGCAGGAAGAGTTCACATTCACCAGTGAACAGTAGTCTGTTCTTTTCAGGAATTGGCGTTGGACACATCTACTACTTTTTAGAAGATGTCTTCCCAAACCAGCCAGGAGGGAGAAAACTTTTGGTGACTCCTGGTCTCCTGTAAGTGTCTCTCTGTGTTGGGGGGTAGGAAGCTGTTGGTTGCATCCAGATAACTCACACATTTCTTTTTCTCTTGTCTCAGGACAAGCCAGTTTTGATTTCCACACTTCAGTAGTTTTTGTTTTATGCAATGAATAGTCCCTCAGCCTAAAAGCAGCTAGTGAATGCCTTCATATCAGATGTAGTGTTCTAGAAAGTGATGGTATCCACTCTGTGGCTGTGGCATTTGAAAGTGCTGGACCTCAAGCCACTGAAAGTCCGTTTAACTGGCAGGTGATGGATGAAGTGCGGAATCATGCTTCAGAATTTTGACATCCTACTTGAAGAAAGAAGGCATCACTGAACTGCTGTTTCTGATCTGCAGGAAAGCCATTTTCGATGCCCCAGAGGAGGATCCCAATTATAACCCCCTCCCCGAGGACCAGGTGGGGGACCCCTCACAGGCTGATGGGGCCCATGCGGATCATGGGGCAGGGCAGGAGGCCCCCCAGGATCCTGAGGATCAAAACGCACAGCAGCGATAGGATTGCCACAGCAGCAGTATGTGGACGTGTGGGGAAAGCATGGGAACAGACTTCGACTGCTGGGAGGCTCAGCCGGTTTACAGTTTCGCAAAGGCGGCCAAGCGCAGGTGTGGCTCCCCTCTTCTACTGAAACTGAAAGGGAGGGGCTGCCTTTATGGTCCCTCCTGGACCTAGCTGCAGGGTAACCAAACCAGAGTCAGATCTTGAAGGAGTGGCCCACTTTGAGCACTGTGAATGGCTCTGATCTTTTTTTATTTTTATTTTTGTATGTATGAAACAATACGTGCATTGAAACATTGAAAAGCAGCAATGAGGGCAGAGAGATATTTATTTTGTAAGAAGTGTTATAAATGGTGTGAAGGGGAATTGTTACACTGCTTCTGCATATCTGGTCAGATATGATTCCATACAGGAGGGCTGGTGGGGGGGACTGGCCTTTTTTTCTTAAGGAACGTTTCTTGGAAATCTTGGTCACTCATTTCAACTACCGAAAACCCCCTGAGAAAACCTTTAAGAAGGAAACGAGTTTTATATGGAGTAGTTAATGTGAAAACACAACATAAGCCAATCTTAACCTTCAATGCTTTAGTCTAGAGCACTACAGTACAGCTAAATGCTTATTGTAAAACACTTAAGATGGAAAACTGATTAAATCACATTTTCAGAATTCAGTATTTGGAACAGTATGGTGGACAGAGATCCATGTTGCAGGAAAACAAAGCAATCTGAACTGTTGCGAAAGTGATCATCTTCCAGGTACTGCTTCCATACCCCAGCTGCATTTTGGCAGTAGCAGCAGCTACTGTAGTGGTGGGGGGGGGTTGTGTGCACAGATATGCCAATGCTCTGAAATCCTCCATAAGCTGAGGAGTCAGCACTTTTAAACTGCTGCCTTTGTGTGCAAAAACATTTGCCAAACTGAAACAGCTTAGAGCACAATAGCTGGGGAAGCTGACACAATGCTATGCTTACGTGGCCCTGGTGAACCCAACCGTGCAAAAAAAGGAAGACTTTTAACATCACAGATCAACACACTAGCCAAGCAATTTGCTTAATGTGTCTGTGTAGTTCTTATACTGAATGCAAAAACAACCCCCAGCCTCATGAATTTTGCCTCAAACCATGACTTTTAAACTATTAAGATTTTTTTAATAGTGACGTTTACATAGGAAGGTACTTTCAAATACCAATCTGTTAGTCTACTGAAAAAACTGTGGTTATAATCTTTAGTAATGCTGTCAATCAGCTAGCCTTTCCATTTTTTATTGTTTAACCAATGGTAAAAACATATATGAATCGGAGCCATAATTAGATCATGGGTCATCAAGATTCTAAGTTTTTTTTTAATTTTAGAATTACCACTTTCAAAAGTAATTCAATGCACATAATGTTATTAAAAACTAGAAAAATGTTTTTTTTCTAAACTGTGTGGCCTTACATTTAATGCAGAGTGGTATCAGGTCTTAAATGATCTCCTGGGATCCAATCTATTTTAAATTGTTCATAAATTTTTATTCTGTCCTCTTAAAAATAAAGCTTTGAAATGATTACTGTAATTTTATTTGCTTTTGGATAGGATTAAATAATCTATAAACCAGTTTTTTAAACAGATTAATTAATCTAAAACTGTACGTTTTAAAATTATATCCAACACTGTGAATTTCCCATCTTGCCTTTTTATCATATTGTCAGTCACTTTCTCAAATTCCATTATACGCGAGTCACAGAAAGTAAGTTAAAACATCTCTTATACGTTTTCTTGATGCAAGAATATAAACCTACAAGAAGTAAACCTACAACAGCACATCTATCAATTTGTTCCTTGTGCGAAAAAGGCAGAAACAAATCTAGCCAAGTATTAAGCATGATTTTTATTTTAAAAAAAGATCAAAATAATCAGGTTTCCTAAAAGTGCTGTCAGCACCTATACAAAAAAAACAATATCAGCACAATACCAGCATATCTTCCACACAGGCATGTTTTTTTTCTATAGATCAGTTCCATGGACAACATTAAACAGGGATATCAGTCTTTACACAAAAAGCTGGGGGAGGGGCTAGAAGAGAGCGGGCTCCCAGTGCCTAGATAGTGGAATGTCTTTGTATGTCAGGGCGATGGGCTTGCAGCTGTCCCACTGACTCAGTTTTTCTCCAGGTTGCAAATCCAAGAAGTCCGTGGGCCGACAAGGTTCTACCAGGCTGGGGCAGTGTTGGCAAGACGTCTCATACGCCTGAAATAAAAACATACAAACATTCAGCAGCCCGGCACGCTGACTGATCACTATAAACAGTGCAGCGGCCCGTATGGCACAGGCTGTTTCAACTTCATACTGTTCAGTTTCAAAGTCCTAACCTTCAAAAATATCACTAACCCTTATCTACTTTTGGTCACTCAGTACACATCACCTATTAGACGTCAACTGTCACAAATGAAAAACAGTACACAAATCGTAAGGCATCACAAAAACTCTTCAAATGTTCTTTGTAACGGAGGTTCCTGTTCCACTTTAACACTTGTGAAAACCTTGGTTTCAGAAATAAAAAGGGTTTATTAAGATTGAAAAAGGGTGTTCTGTGGATTAGGAACTTTCTGATTCTTCCTTAAATTTTACATAAAATATAAGAAGGTGCTTTAATTCAGAACATTAAGAAAATTGTTTTTCAGTAACATTGTTTTTTTTGACTTGCCACCATTTTAAAAACCAAAGGAAACTTCATCAGCAGCAATAATAGTGTTATTCCAAAGTCAGGGTACAATGATAAGTCAGGGTACTTACTGCAGCTTCATATATATTTGACAAAGAATGTGAAGACCCTGCTGGTACTCATCCGTTGAATACACAAAGACGAAACTTCTTAAAATCCCTTGTGAGAATTATGTTAATTGCAGTTTAGTATTAGAGAAACAGCTACCTTGTATTTCTGTCCTGGTCCCTTATCTTTTTCTCCATCTCGGCATCTGTCAGGGTTTCCAGTAGGGGGCACCACTGGTCAGCATCACCTGTGTTTCGAATGGCAATCTCCACCGTGGGCAAGGGGTTCTCACTGCACACAACACAGCGTTAATCAAGACATGCTGCTGGGTAACCTGGGAGAACACCGCTACTACACCCAAACATGAAAACAGGGCTCTCCTTGAACAACCTAGTGCAAAAGGCAGACTAGTGTTAAAAGAAGTGCACAGCAAACAGAAAGCACCTAAATGTTAACAATTTAAACATTTTAGGACAGTAAATTCAATTGGCTTATCAACTCTTCCTTGTTGCAACTTTGGTTGTGGAAACAGAGTACAAAAATAAAGTGCACAACAGTTTTTTCCCCTCTCAATAAATACAAGCCCTATATTCTGTACCAGAGTTTTAACTGTCTAGTATCTACCATAATACTGTAATATCTCCAAATTTGTGATTTCATCACAGTTTTAAATTCCTTTTAATATGACTCACTTTTTAGATTTCGCTCCAGCTGTCCAATATGGACAGAGGTCATCGAAACAGACTAAACAACAGCCCTAGGCTGCCTTTAAAAGCTGCTCACTGATAGCAGAACCACCTTTAGTAAGTGGAGTTCAACTGTCTCTGTTTATCTGAATATGAGATACCTGACAAATTATGGAGAAGGAAGTAAAAGTAGCCAAGTGAAATTGATCAAAAACATCTGCTGTTTAAACTAAAACCATGTCATACAATCTGTGCAATGAGTTTATTTCCAGACTTGACTTATTTTTATGCACTGTTTCTGCACCTCCCCCCCTTACAAACCATCTTCATATATAGACACTAGTCCTACAGAATTAAATTAAAAAATTTAAAGTACTCAGCTTCCTTGGCATGAAGTTGAGGGAGAACTCTGAAGGTTTAAGCTTTGGCTCAAGAAATGCACAAGAATAATGACCTGATATCAGACCTATTGGAAATGACAGCAAGGAGAAGTAAAATTAGAAGCGATACCAGAAGCACATTACAGAACTTAAAATCAATTTATCAGGCCATCTGACAAAAGCTCCAGCCTTTAGTATGGAATCACACTGGAAAACCGGTGACAGCATGCTTGTAGATCAAGGCCAAAACAAACAAAAACAAAAGATATGAGCACTTCAAATCTGAAAACACAATAACACAAACTCAGAATTGGCATCAGAACACTCATACATCCATCCTGATCTCGGATCCATCTTCAGTGGTCAACAAGCAGCAGTAGCATTTTCTTATTTCTATTAATCATCCTAAACACAGTACATCATACATGGTGTATACCATAATAAAGATAACAACCTCCTTGTCAGTACTTTTAGACACTGCGCAGCAGAAATGGGAAAAAAAAGACGAAGGGTGAAAATTGGTTCTTGGCGCCATGGAGCAGAAAAACGCTGCACAAACAAATCAGAGGGTCAGTCAGAGAGCAGAGAAATCATCATTGCACAAGGACCCTGCAAAAGGGCTGTTTGTTTTTTGGAAAGTAGTCCAGTGGTTAGAAGGAATTCCTTTACGTGCAAAACACTTGGTGTAAATTGATATGAAAAGGGGGTGAGTTTATCTGTGCCATAAACAGGATGCAGTATAATTAAGTGTGTGGTCGAAGCAATCCTTTATCTTTGTTCAGTAGACCCACTTTGTGAGTCATAAATATCTGCGGTTGTTGTGTCTTTGCCTGTGTACCCCCACCACTGTTCTGCGTGTGTCACTGGCTGTATTTTCCTCTGGACATCAGTTGTAAGATACTCTCTTAGCCTCGGATAAAAGACAAAAGAAGCCGTTAACCCTTTAAGGTGACATATTTTTACTTCTCTACTTAATAAAGCAAGAAGTAGGTAGGAGTGACACTAACAAAACTCGATGTTATATTCTGAACCACTAAAACACAGAAAGGGAATTGTAAATGAGTCTGTGCATTTCATTTAACCCCTACCCCTAACAAATGCTTATGAGGTCACCAGCAACTTTTTGACAAGTGGTGAACAACCTACATTTGTTTAATGGACCCTAGAACGCACTGACCTTTGACTACTTAATGGTAGTAAACTGGAAATGACTTTCAATGGAATGTTTTTCTCCCATTCAGCATTGCAATGGGCGAGTTAGTGGCCTAACGTGCAAAGGTACCTGAAGGCGTATGTCCTCTGGTGCCAGCTGAGCTGCCCACGGATACTGTAGGCAATGGTGGTGACGAACTCCCCTCCGAGCCCTAGTTCAGAGCAAAGTTTCAGGGCAAACTTCTCTGGAGAGTTCTCCTTCTCTGACATGTCCCATTCAAACTGGTCCACCAGCGAGATGTTGCCGACATGAATATTTAGCTGCAGCACAGACCAGAAAAAAGTAACTTATAAGTGACCATTCATCCTCTAGGTAGTTCAACTAGGGAGCTGTGTCAGCATGCATAGGCTGCAAAGGAACAAATAAAGGGTTATTCACTGCTGAAAAAAAAAAGAAGAAAAGAAACCTGACACCTGAAGAAGACACCCGATGAAGGCTCTGCAGCCGAAACGTTCTTTCTCTTCTTCTCCTTCCAGCATGGAATTAACCTTTACTTGTTCCCATTCATCTTCTAAACTGATTTAACATGCCACTGAGCAACAAATGTATACATCTGCTGTTTCACAATTTTCAAGTAATTTTTCAAATCAGTTCTTCTTGAAAATTGAAAAAGAAATAGCAGTATAGAAAATTTCTTCTCACCCAAGAGGATTCGTAAAGTTTAAAAGCTATGCTAATGGATTTTTATACATTACGATTTTACTTTATAAACTAGAATTGTGAAGGTTTTCACTGCATCATATATATAATTGATTATGTAATAGAAATCATTCCAAGCCTATATCAAAATGTGTTCATTACACGTTTCACAAGCAATTCAGAACTCTTAAGCTCCATAAGCAAATACATCTCTCCATACACCCTACACCACTTCAGACTAGTTCTTAAATTTCCAGTTCCTGGGGGTGCTTACTCGTTACCATACCTTAATAATGACTCTTTGGTCTGTCTGCTCATCTAAGATGCTGTCTGTAGGGTAGGACTCAATCTGTTGCCTGATGGCAGAAGCAATAGCTGGGACAAATGTCAGGGGATTCAAATCCAGGTCGTCGCACAGGATCTCGGCAAACATTTCAGGCGTCATGAGCTTTTCTGGGAAAATGGACAAATCGCAGGAAATGTAAAAAAGTTTTTCAAAAATCTAAAGTGGGCACTGTACAAAATCCCCGCACAATGAATACTTCCTTTAAAACGGACAAGACTTCCAGTTTGTTAAAGACTGGGGTCAATGCAGCATAACCTCTTTGTTGAAGTACTTGTCAAGATACTTGCACAAAAAGGTAGCTAAGAAAGGAGTCTCTGGAAAACAAAGCTTGGATAGCACTGGCCAGTCTTACCATTCATATTCCACGTGAAGGCATCTCTGAGTTTTTGTCCATCTATCTCCATATCAAGCCGGATTGGAACCAGAACTTCAGTTTGGGAAGCATTCTCGTGGATCACGGCTGGGTCATGGTCATCAAAACTAAGAGTTGGTGGAGAAATTGCTTCAGCTGCAGTAAATTATGTGCTAATAGGAAGAAATATTTGCCCACCCGAAATTTCCAAAACATCACGTTAACAATGAGCTTCATAAAAATAAAAACAATCCTTTCAGAAACATTCTAGTACACAAAACTGCGTAGGCTGTGGTATTTTAAGATGTTTTTTTTGTCATTTCCTAATTGTTTCCGAATAAAAAATACAAACAACTGACTTCTTTAGTTGTTTACAGATGCATTGACTAAACCAGGAAGGCTCTAGAGTTCACTGACACAATAAACCCTACAGCTGTGTTTATGCAAGCAAAAACTCAGGAACAAGCAGAAAAAAAACCATCATGATTATGGTGCAAACATGGATATGAACATGTTAAGAAATACTTTCTCTAATCCTCATTTATGCTGAAATCACAATACTGGAGCAAATTCCCAGTGGGCACAATACATATCAAAGAACAACATCACCAAGATTCCTTCCCACAGCTCAATTCAACATTAGAAGTTTCAAAGAGGAGATACTAACAAAAAAACAATTTCAACCCGGAATTGTTTTATTTTTATACTAATATTATGTTATGTTTTTTGTGACATTTGATTTGTTCAGTTACTACACTTACGTTGCCATACATCAGAGTTCCAGTACATCTTTAGTGAATTTTTTTTTGTAAAAAGCATGTGTTCAAGCACAACCTGAAGAAATATCTCCTCTCCTGTTAAACGGGACTGTAAATAAGCACTGAAATTCCAGCAAAATGATTTAGGTTTGTTATTCTTTATTACTAATAGTAATACTAGTAATAATAGTACTACTATTTTAAAACACTGAGTCATAGAACATGCAGGAAACTGAGAACTGATTTATTTGTTATTGTATTTAAGGCATTATGGGTTGAAATAATGAACCTGTAATGGGTGTAAAATGAATGAATCATATGCCAGGACTCTGTGGTGAACATGAGTGTTAACGTCCTCTGATAACAGGTACAGTGTGAACTGGTAAGGGATGGTGATTCAGTCTTATGAAATGGAGAGGCTTGGGACTGAGATAATACAGTATGAACTATGAAGGGTGGCGATCTATCATGATGAAGGCGGGGGGTCGGGGTAGGGAGTTGGGTGGCTGTTGCACGCAGTGGTCTTAAAGCCGCCGAGCTCCAGCCGATTTTCCGGACTCACCAAAGCGGGAAGGTCCTCTTCTTGTCCCGGCCCATGCGATTGCGGTTGATGGTGGTGGAGCAGGGCACAGCGTCCAGGTGGTGGGAGCTGTTGGGGAGCGTGGGCACCCACTGGCTGTTCCGCTTCGCCTTCTGCTCCCTGGGCAGAACATGTGAGAAAAAGAACCTAGAGCTTTCGCGGAGGATTACAACGATATAAAATATATTTTACCTGGACATACTGAGTGTCATTTGGTCATTATGAAAAGGGCAATTGCCCTTTTTTATTGTGCACCCGCTGAATCTGTAACCCCCCCATTCGTTTTAAGGCTTGATTCTCTGACAATGGTTCCTGCTCCAGCTCAGGAGCTCGTGACGGATATGACCCTCCCAACACGTTCAAGTGCCCAGTGCCTGGTGAGATCTAGCACTGCACCGATGAGTGGCGCCGTTCTCACCAATGTCACCGCAAAAACAAATCACAGACGTCACCGCTGCATCGAAAGGCCCCTGGCAGCACGGCAGCTCTGCCACCTATGAAATCTTAGTAACCGCTGCTTAACCTGCGCTCCAAGAAAGCACTTTTACTGGTTAAGCAACTCAAGTTCTGGTAATAAAAAATAACATTAAATAACAACATGATGTTAAAAATTCCAAAACATTACATCATTTGCATATATATGAAATCTCATTTAGCACTGCACACTTTAATTGATCCAGACTAAGGAGGTTTCATGCATTCTTCATGGAATCGCAAGATGATAAATGATACAAGATGGGACATGCTTAATTTGAAATGATTTGTGCTGCACTGGTATGGATGCTCCAGACTGATTTTCTGTTGATCTAATTCATAAACCTGCATGACATTTTTGGATTCACCACTGAATCGCAGTAATTACCAAGTTGTGCTTTGTAACATTACCTGAGGTAGGCAGGTGGCTCAGTGCTGATGGAGACTGCCTTGTACTTCTCATCGTTTCCTTCCAAGATCTCCTCAACTTCAGATGCTTTCAGCAGAGTCACACTGGTGGCTAAAGTTGTGTAACCGTGATCTAACACAAAGAAAACACTGAAGATACTGCTGTCCAAAAGTAGAACTTTCGGATTTACTAGCTCTGGGGAGAATGTTTCTGATCATTAAAGTGATTGCGACTCACACTTCTTGAACTTATTGGTAAATTATCATCGCTGATAATAATGCTGCTATTGGGCAACAGGAGTACTTGAAAGTGATAAAGACTTGACACTCACCGTGTGATGATGCTACAATTTTCTTCCTCTCCTCAACAGAAGCCAGCCTCCGCCACAGTGAAGGGTACCTCTTGTACAGTGAGCCTCTGAACATCCGCAAGTAGTTTCCTACCTAGGAAACGAAACCAAAGAGTCAAATAGCAGTGTCCCTTAAAGTAGATGAACCTGAGGAAATACAATAATTTGATTTTTTCTCAGCGGGTTAGATGTTAACATTGAACATGACTTTCTATGATTAACTGGAAATTATGAATAAATACTTACAAACACCTCTAGTTACTAACACCTCTATTTCGTTGCCAATTAAATATATAAGCCAACCAATAACATGTCATACAACCACATACTATATTTTCAGAATTAAGGAATGTCTTACACTGACAAGTTCAAGAACTTCACTATTTTGTCTTTAACAGAAAAGATTACTTTAAGTATCTAAGTAACTGTACTTTGACAAAATCAGCCCAAACAATTTAAGCAGAAACTATATGGTTACCCAGGCATTTAAAACTGAAAAAATGATCATCGCGGATCGATTACCATTCGAAAACGCCAGGTTAACCGAATGACCTCATCTAGTTTATAATCTTTGTAAATTCTACTCAAACAAGAAAACCCATTTCCAATAAATGACTATATTAATAAGACATTCAAATTCGTGTAAATCTGCATTTGTCAGTTTGACATATGTGACATCCGAGATACTGGTAATGAAAAACGTGCTGGAGAAAAATGTTTACGAAGACATTGCCAGATAAAGTGGATTCTATCATTATCTTCAGCATCTAGGTGACCGTATGGTGTTTCTTGTTGACTTTACGAGAACCAATACGCCCTTTCTAATTAATTTAGGAACATTTGCTCACAACACTAATCAAATGCTACCATAATAGTGTGAGTTATTTTAAAAACAAGATCGTTTTAGTTCAATTTTCTGAATTGAAGAGAAATAGAAATAGCGCTTACCCAACTAAGCCAGTTCATTCAGTAAGCCCAGACAGCAAAACACAATGAAACCGTACCCCAGGTTGACTTTAAACACTAATATCACAGCTCTAAAAAACGCTAGAAGCAAAAGGATTACAGAACCCGATTCAAGAACACCCAGGTAATAAAATACATACCTCTGAACCAATCATGTAAAATTCCCCATCTTCTTCAAGTTGAAATTTCACCGGCTTCTGCCCAAACGTTTTACTTAACGCCATCTTGGCTGTAACAAAAGCACCACAATGCGCATGCGACTATTACAGCAAGCGATCCGCGCATGCGTTGTTAAAAAGTCAGTGGAAACGGGTGTCTCCTGTTCTTGCTGTAGCGCCACCAACAGGAGCGAATCGATAGCGCAGTGCATTGAAGGCTCAGCCTCGCGTAGACCTCTGACATCTAAATACCGTGGGCTTTCTGAAAATTTCTTCTTAATGAAAACAATGTTCATGCCAAACACAAACTGTTTGCTTTGTATTCAAACACTCCATGCGTCTGGAAACAATGCATAGTAAAACAGCTTGTGATGTGGGCAACAGCTTTATAATTTGGGTGCAAGTACATCCTGCATTTCCCACTGCCCTACTTGCTAATACTAATACATTTTCTAACAACTTCATTGAATTCAAGGTAACAGGAGAGCCGGAACCTGTCCCAGCAAGCAATAGGCGCAAGACAGGATACACCCTGGACAGGACACCAGTCCTGGGCAGAACCAGACAGCATTAGACACACTAGGGGCAGTTTTCCTAGAAACCAATTAACCTACTAGTATGTTATTGGACTGTGGCAGGAAACTGCAATGGGAAACTCGGTCCTTTTTACCTCTCCGACCCTGATAAACCATTGAAAACCACCACCTTGTATCCTAGTCAAACTAAGAAAACTTCCATTGCCCCAGTTGTACAAGCCAACATCTGTTAATTCCTTAAATGAGCTGAAACATGTAGATTTGTTAAAGGCACAGAGTTCCTGGCTCTTTTTGCCCTAAGGATAGCTGCGGTTTTGAGCATTAAAAGCAGTTTAGACTGAAAGGATGACAATAATTTGGATTATTGAGTTCAATTTCAATTTTATTGTAATGCTCCGCAGTAATTTGTGTAATTATACTTTTTTATAGACAGTTGAGAACACGAGGGATTGAAATTAAAAGAGGGTTTTTTTTTACTAACAATGTCAAATGTCTAAAGCTACATACATAAAGCATAAGACACCAAAGATAGCACTTTTAATACAGAATATAGTTTTGTAGTCTTACAAATGTTCAGTAGGACATTTTCACATTTATGGGTATTAAAATGAAATTTGTAGTTTCCCTTATAAAACTGATACACCAGCGTCCTCATTCAGTCATACCCCTGCTATTTTGGGGAGAATAAAGAAGAAAAATGGTGATGAAGCTCATGAAAAAGGTACAGTATGAGCTATATTTCCTTTCAATTCAGCAAGTGATCAGTAAATCTTGACAATTTAGCAACTTTCATTTCCTTTAGTTTTCCACAGGTATTTGCTTTCCTCTGAGATCAGAAATGATACATCAGAGCACTTGTCTTGTACTTTGGAGCACTCCAGGTTTCTTTCATCATTCTGTAATTTTTCTGCACTGCGTGAACTGGAAAATGAGACAAGGCTCCAAAAGCACAGGCCAGTGTAAGTTATGCCCCATGTCTTACAGCTGCAGTGAACAGACTCCTTAATTAATGTTAGCAATCCACTTTTTGTCAGGGGAAGCACAAAATTAATATAGGATTTGGATATAAATAATTTCTTTGGAAAAGTGAGGATATTGGCAGGCCAACAAAAACAGGAATTTCGTATGAAAGAAAAATAAAGAACTGCTGTGTCCAAAGACACTTTTTTTGCTCAGTGTCAACTTGGTCTTCACTCTTGGCAGGACTTGTCTCACAGTTTCTCGAAACCGTGGAACCATCAATTCCATTTCTGACGGAGCATAACATCGTCCTGCAGAGGAACTCTGTCCCTTCTGCTTGCTGTGAGCCTTGTCTTACATTTTCACAGAGGAAACAAGATAAGGAACAGTCTGGGGGCAGACACATTAATTATCTCAACCAGAGTCAGTACAAAATGAAACAGCATCTATACGGCTGTTTTAAGCTACGAAAAGATCTTTGATCTCCATTACTGTGCATTCATGTTTTGTATGCTTGGAGAATAATATATAGGTAGCCTTGGACCTCTGCAACATGAGTGTCTGAAAAGAGGGAAATGAACCTTCTTATATTGTTGCTCATATGCTATGCTTATAGTTCTGGTTCTCAGAGACTCATGAGTAATGGGGTCAGTTATTTTGGATACTTTGCTATTTTTATATAAACTCTGCAGTTCTTTGACTGAGAAAATAGATTTTAGCCATATTTCCATTACTCTGTAAATTATTTTGTTGACTCTAGCAGTAAGGGTGTAGAGGTATCCACTTAGACAGAAAGACACATCTAGATGTAAGTAAAGATATTCGTTTATAGGATGTGACACAATTTACAGTACCCTTAGGTGGAAAAAGTGTTGTGCTGGCTTGCAAAAGGGATATCCTCAATATATGTAATTACAGATACTGCAAAAGATTAATCAATAATCAAAGGATTTCTGTTAATGACTAACTCAGAAATAGCTACAATAGAGCAGTAATAACTGCCAGCTGGTGTAAATTTACATTTTATAGTGTTCTTTTTAACTGAACCTTCAGGTATGAATGGCTTTAGATGAAATGGCTTAACCAATAAGAGTTTACAATTATTGTATACCTAATATATAAAAAAGAGCCACACCACAACGGATATATGAAAGATTAAAGACATGGTTTATGTCACTTATCCCCAGGATTAATGAGGGAGCATCTGGAAATGCTTATTTTATCTGAGTTTTTTATGCTTCTGTTTTGCTTTGTTTAAAATCGCTTTAAGACTAAGAACTGTGGCTTTGGGCCAAAGTCAATCGTTTTAAAAATAAACTAGGTCTCCTAGTTGTTTGTGGTTCAGAAGGTAGTGATGCTGCTGGAGGTCAACGATAATAGTACAAAACTGTGGAAAGAAGAAAGGGATTCTGTCCATAATTTGAAATTGACCTTGATATAGACAACAGAACAAACAGACAAGGAGTAGGTTGCTTGCATTCTTCCTGTTATGTCCAGAGCATTCAATATTAGCAAAAATGAAATAATTGCTTTCAGAAGTGAATTACACTCATACATTTCAGAGCACGGGTGTTCAAACGCATACAATCTGATTCCAGACAAATGCTGATACAATCTCCCATTTGATGGAAATTTGGAAATGAAAAATGAACTGCTTGCAAAACACATATAAAGGGAACAAAATAGACGGCAGAACTTTCAAAGTACTGGAACTGATTAGAAACAAGGAAGGCCTAAAGCTCTGGGCCCTGACCGTTTCAGACAAAAATAGGTTCAAAAAGGCCTACGCAAATTACAAGAGAGCATACACTGTCATGTTTATGATATAAACCTTGTTTGCTCAAAAAGGGAGAGATAGCATTTCTCAGGGAGCCTGATGACTAGACAATAATATCTTTGACTTTAAATCTCTTTGCTGGTAAATTCTTTCCAGCAGGAGTCTCATTAAAAGATGCAACCCTCATTCTGGCTTTTATTAACAGTCTCTCTACATTTTGTAAGACTGTGTTTTACTATAGTCTCAAAATGGGGCTGGAAATGTAACATGTTTGTTGTTGTTTGATTTTTATGGTGGGGGACATCAACAAATGCTTGATCTTACAGTAAACTAGTCCTACTTCGAAATATGTTTTTTCATATTTACATTTTATAACATATAATGTAGTCAATTATGTTTTTAACAAGTGCAGATTTGTTTGGAAGGAAATGGCAGAGAATAAAGAAACTGTTTAGCTCATGATAAAGTACTGTCTTTTTAAGTGCAGACAGAAAGCATTTTCTAAAGCTGGCTTTCAACTTTGTATACAATAAAGTACAATTAAAGATGTTCCATGCACTTTTCTCAGTAACCAAAACTTTAATTACTCCAGAGGAAAGGTCTCTATTTCTGTAATTATATCACAGAAGGATTCCACAGAGTACAAAGACTCTTTGGAATGTTTCTACAAGATTGTGCCTTCTGTGTTTATGAACCTTAGGTACATCAATGTAGCTGTTATCTCAAATGCCAGAGGGCAGTGGAGAGTAACTGCTGAAATATTGTCATAAACCGATTGAACAGTTTTCCAACAATCCCTATTTTTTTACAGGCATTTATATTCTGAACCATCTCGCCATTTTCTATCCAGTTCACGGTTGAGCGGGAAAGCTGGAGCCTAGTTCGACAAACAGGGCGCGCAAGGCAGGGTATACACTGGACAAGACACCAGTCCATCGCAGGGCCACACACAGACACAAACAGACACACTCACACTCACACCAGGGCCAATTTTCCCAGAAGCCAGTTAGCCAACCAGTATGTCTTTGGGCTCTAGGAGGAAACATGAACCAGCAAACATACAAACTGAGGCAGATTGCTCCCCAAGTCCGGAACTGAACCCAAACCCCAGTTGTGAGACAGTTATGCAATGCTCGTTCACAGAAGGCTTAGCAACTTCTAGACTGTTACCATTAGGTTTCAGAAGGGTTGGGTCTATTCAGCACTGAGATTGGGGGTTGCTGCTGTGAGTAGAGTTGGTAGACCAGTAGGTGGTGCTCTTCCCTGTAGATGAGAATTTCCGGACCAGTGTCACATTATGGTTTCCGTGGACCACATGGCATCTTTCAAGGTTCTGACTACTTTACATTAAAGAGCATATTAAAGAGTGAAGCATTTTCTCACTTTGCCACCTGATGTACTGTATAGTGGGGCAGCTCCCAGATAATGTGTACCAAATGTGTGATCCATGTAGGTGCTACATAAAACACTTTAGGATCTTTACCCAAAGATCTTGACTCAGACATCCTTACCCGAAGGGTATGCATTGCAAGCGTCAGATATGTTCCAGTGCTTAAGGTCCTACACTGACAGGCTGAAGGAATTGTAACTTTTTAGCCATGAACAGGAAAGTATGAGAGGCCATGACACAAGTATTCAGAATGCTCATGAGCATTGACTAAGTCACCCCAGTGGTGAAACCTTGAAAATAACCAGTGGAACACAAGTGAAAACTACGTGGAAGAGCATTTGAAACTGAGAACAGAAGGCACTTCTTTCCCTAGAGGATTATGGGTGTCTGGAACAAGCAAAAGCCCTGGCTTCAATCAAGAATGAGATCCTGGGATCAGTTAGCTATTTAACGACCAAACGGGCAAGATAGGCCTCCTCTTTCTTGAAACTGTCGCCATGTTCTTGAGCACTGTGACTATCTGGAAGCTACCCAAAAATAATGTTAAGACAGCTGCTTGAGATAATTTAAGAAACCGCTAGGCGAGATTCAAGATCAATAAACTATTAGCAACCGAAAGAGCACAATAGATCAGAGGTCCTTCTTCGGTTTGTAACCTCACTCCTGTTATTTCTGTATCAGCTAAGGTCAAGTATGATTCTCCTATCCTATGCTACCATCCAGTGGTGATTTTTTGTAGTTACCATGATCTGCTCTTCAGGCATACAACCTGATTTCTTGGATTTTCGCTTGTGGAGTGGCAATTTATTTGTTGGATCAGTTAGCTTTTTACAAAGTTTTCCAACGTTTATCATTAAATTGCTATAAAGTTGGTCAGGCACCTACGTTTTCTGCTGGTACTGATTGTTGGAATTCAGGGAAATATTTCTTAGGCTAAAACTGTAGACTAGCTAACACCCCCTGTACACAGCCAATGAGGAAAAGAATAGTTTGCCATTAAGAAAGGGCTGGTGGACACAACCTGCTTCCTCGCAGTTACAAGAATTACAAGAAGTTAGCCTAAGAGCATTTTAACTGTAAATGTACGATAGTCTACATGAAAAAAAAAACTTTGCCACACATTTTATTTTCATTTTTCTGAGGAGAATGTTATATTTAAGTACACCCGCTGTTTATCTCCAAATAAAAAGACGGAATATAATTATCAGTGCATATAAGTGCATTTCATATCATATCTGAGCATACACAACAGCAGTCAGACATGATGGGCCAATGCATCTCAATGGCATCATGCACAGTTAATGCGTTAGAACACCTGCCACTTGTTAGTGAATGTGTCTGATAAATGGAATGGATGTGTGAAACATGGGTTACACATAAAATTTGTTAGATTAGTTAATATTAACCTGGCTCCCGGTACATAATACTAAGACCTTTGCCTGCACCAATTTGCATTTCTGCGTGTATGTGTGTGTGTGCCGTCGCAGCTCGTTTTGACCATGCTTCTGCGCCCATGTACTGTACATCCTCAGTGGCACCTTGTCTCAGGCCCACCGGCTGACGTCCTGAGTCCGCAGCGCGTACTGGCCAACCTCATCCTATCACAGAGCAGGAGCTGGAGCGCTTGTACCGCCCAGGCACCGGCATATTATCGCACTTGCATAACCAGGAATAAAAACGAGAATAGAACAAGGGGCGATGTGTACATGGATTTATCTCCCGCTTCGCTTTATATCTATTTCAGATTTTCTTTTAATGGTTCCAAGATTCGTAAGGATCTAACGTAAAATGTCCGAAAGTGAAAATGACTTGGAACACCTTGAGGCTTCGGAGAAAAAGGTTAGCCAGCTAGTCGACTCGTGTTAAATAGTTGAATGTGTTACTAAAAAGATGTGTGGGCACCCCTTTATAAGACACGTGAATGGCTACCATGTCCTACTGTTTATTTTTAAATACTGGCATGGATTTTATTTTTATTAGCTCGTCAGAGGTGGTGTGCTTTGGGTATTTTGGGAAATAGCAAGTCCCGTCTTTGCCCTGCAGTGTTATGGACAGTATACAAGTCTCTTGTGAAAGGCGCACTCCGCAGCTGGGTGCCTGCGTGTCGTATGCGTTCAAGTGCAGGTATTGACGCAGAGAAGGGAATTTTACCTTGAGCTCAAGACTCAGCCGCAGTTCACCAGCCTGAGCCGAGAGCAGAATAGGCCGTTCAAAATACTCTTATGCAGAAAGACTGTTTCCAGGACATCAGCCAAGTGCCTGGAACAAGCGGATTTTTCCTTCTACCAGAATTATTTAACTTTCAAACCGACATAATAACCGGAAGGGGATAATACAGGGGAAAACGCTGGCTGTTTCTGCATATTGTTAATAACCCGTTCTCCACATGACAGCTGTACCTTCATCGAGGCATAATAACAAGGAAATCATGCCCTGACGAGGAGACCTACAAGAGATGTGCTTGAGGTTGATACTTTATGCGGTGAAAACGTGCTCTCTACCTTTTACCCCTTCTTTGTGTGTGTAGAGCATATTAAATGTAAGCATTTTTCAAATCTTATGTTCAAACACTAATAAGCACCTTGTCCATTTTTGCAGCCTTATGCCTGGACCCTTATTCTGACGGTCTGCTCTGCAGCTATAGGGGGGACTTTGCAGTACGGCTACAACATTTCCATCATCAATGCACCCACCGCAGTAAGGCAAACGCATCACTTCACCTCCAGTGACTCTCCTGATGCTGGATGCAAGCATGCTAGGCAAAACCTTAGGCTGTCACTCTTTAGGTTCCTTAGTATAAAATAAGGCCGGCACACTGGCCCAGTGGTTACTATTGCCGCCTCACGGCGCTCGGGCCCTGGGTTCAATTCTGGACCTGGGGTCTGTCTGTGTGGAGTTTGTATGTTCTCCTTGTGTTCTTGTGGGTTTTCTCTGGTTGCTCCAGTTTCCCCCCCACAGTCCAAAGACCAACTGGTAGGTTAATTGCTTCTGGAAGAAGTGCTCCTGGTGTGAGTGTGTGCTTGCCTGGATGGGATTGGCTTCGGCCCCCCTGCAGCCCTGGATATAGACGCCATCATTTGCCAAAAACAGAGTACCAAGTAAGAGATAACAGAGCACACTGGTGATCTCTGGATGATGTGCTTCCAGCCTGTCAGAACCCCATGTCAAAAAATGCCAGCTGTTTCCTGACATGGATTTGCATGTTTTCGTTGCGGCTTATGTCCTTGGGGTTGTCTTTCACTACTTGTCCTGAAGTCCTCCAGCTTGATTTGGACAAGATCTTTCGGGATTTTTTCATATGTGCATAAAGGCCCCTCCCTGTGTTAAAGAGTAGAAAGGATGATTAGTTCCTGTGCGTTTGTCTGTGTCCTCTAAGGACCATGTGGGAACCGTTGTTTGGAGTCTTGATCAGTCTGCGGTGCACTTGTCCCCCCCCACACACTTCTCCTGCAGCATGTCCAGCGGTTTGTCAATGAGACGGTTCTGGAGCGGTGGGGCAGACAGCTGGAGGGCTACCAGATCACTCTCATCTGGTCCTTCATCGTGTCCATGTTTTCTCTGGGAGGCCTGGTAGGAGCTCTGCTTGCAGGGCCAATGGCCATTCACTTCGGCAGGTACAGCAGCTTCAGCATTATAGACAACTACCACCAAGTAGCTACTGTACATTTCCAGCTTTCTGTCCAATGGTAGAAGTGAAAAGGCATGAAAACTATTACAGAGTCTGTTACAGTAACCACACTTATTTCTTAGTAAGACAGCTGTTTAGAGATTAATATAAGAAAATTCTATAGCAAGAAAAATCTTCGGTGCTTTAAAATGACAAAATATCATACCGTATCCACACTATTTAACTTTGAGAAAATATAGGCATTAATATATATATATATCCTCCCTCAGTAGGTATGCCGTTTAAATTTAGCAAAAGCAAATGCAGCAGGGAATAATACTGCCTTTTTCATCAGAGGCTGTGACAGTTCAGCTGTATTCAGGTTCTCTTCTTTTTCATTTAAAATTCTGCCAAACATTTTGTCCCTCTGACAGCCCCACAAAATGAAACGGCGAATTCTCGTAGGTGAGTGGCAGTAGTCACCGAAAGACGGTGTCAGTGCGTGCGTTTTTTCACTCTTCCCGCCGCTAGGAAGAAGTCCCTGCTGCTGAACAACCTGTTTGTGTTCGTGAGCGCGGCGCTGGCACTGGCAAGCAGGGCGGCGAGGTCGTTCGAAATGATCATGCTCGCCCGCATCCTGGTTGGCATCAACGCCGGTACGTACACTATTCCAGTCTGAAACGGCACTGCAGCGGCAGACTGGCTTCACCCAGAAAAACGAAGCTGCAGGAATCAGTTTTGTGCACTGTAACCGTAACACTCCATAAACCTGGCAAGAATCCGGTACTCACTACTAAAGTGCTTTCATCATCCAGACACAGTAAGAATGGCTTGGGGGGGGTGTTGTCATTCCAGGTGTATCCTGGTACTGAGAATTACAATTCCACTTCGACTCCAAAATGCTTTTTGAATTGCTGTTTGTGTTCTTTGAGTGAGAGATTCAGGTGAAGAGCTCACGATGATCCTTTCCTACACAGGTGTCAGCATGAATATCCAGCCCATGTATTTCGGAGAAAGTGCTCCTAAGCACCTGCGAGGAGCTGTGGCGCTGAGCTCGGCATCCTTCACTGCTTTTGGAATTGTTCTGGGTCAGGTTATAGGACTCAGGTAGGCTTTGAGCATAAACCAAAAATCTTAGTATTTCAGTTCCTCGGCCAAACTAGCGCTCAGATACCTGTTCCTTTTCCACAGACACAAAACTCCAGTTATGTATTATGAGTTGGCATGTCTCACAGTCTTATTTTAACACCGCTACAGCTGTCGCAGCTTAACAACAAACAAAATAGTGGGGATGGAAGTTGCTCTTCACTTATTTCAGTCATTTCTTGAAGGATTCCAGGCAATGTGGTTTAACATCTTGGCAACTTGGTATCCAGATACCATCAACCTTGAAAAATGCTGCTTCCAGACTTCCAGACGTCCCTGCTCAAAGTCTGCTTTCGTAAAGACTAAAAAGATTTAGTTCCTTTACATTTGCCTGTGTTTGACATTTTTTTAAAGGCAAGAATTAATCTGATCTCTCTTCTCTGAAAAGTTGCTCCCGCAATAGCGTTCTCTTTTCCTGGTGGCGCAAACGAAGCACGCAGTGTTCCAGATAAGGTCTTAAAAATAGGTCGAATTAGAGTGGATTCCTCATTGCTCCCTGTCTCGGGTTCAACCCTGCAGGGAGATCTTGGGTGGCGAAAGCCATTGGCCTTTTCTTCTGGCCACCAATGCCATCCCTGGGCTCATACAGCTCCTCACACTGCCCTGGTTCCCTGAGAGCCCACGGTACCTCCTCATTGACAAAGGAGACAAGGAAGCCTGCACTGAAGGTGAGGAGGCAATCTTAGTCATTCCTTAGTGGGTCAAGACCTTCATTTTGCTAAAAATTCCCAGAGTCAAAGATATATCCTTATTACCCTGTTGCAATAGTAGTTCATTTTTAATTTCATTTTGTATTTGCTGTTTCTTACGCATACCTTCGGATAGTTAACACACGTTTTATTTATTTGCCCTGTTTTAAAAAACTGGGTAGCAGATTTTGTTTTTGCTCTTCTCAAATGACTGGCTGAGTGGTGCGCTGAAACGGTGAGGTTCCATGGGTCAGCAAACCGTGCGGCAAGGTGGCGCCACTCAGTGGACACGCTGCTGCGCTGCACCTGCCGGTTTCACGTGGCTCAGCTGGACTCTGACGCCCTGTCCCACAGCGCTCCGCCGGCTGAGGGGCTGCGGAGACCTGAGCCGCGAGATGGACGAGATGCTGCAGGAGAAGGCGGCTGCAATGGGCCAGCGAGCCAAGGGGCCGTGGGCGCTGATTCAGGACCGGGGCGTCCGCTGGCAGCTCATCACAGTCGTGGTGGCCAGCAGCGCCATGCAGCTCTGTGGAAACGACAGCGTGAGCACAGTACATCTGGACACTCCCCGCGTGCCTGGCTACAGACACACAAGTCCTCAGCCTCTCCTTAGAGCTTTCCATCCAATGCAAAAGCGAACTGGGAAAACAAGCGTAGCAGTGAGACATATTCCACAGCAAGAACATGCTAATCCTATGTTAATCCATGCAGAAAATAAAAAACGCAGTCTTTGGGATGTTCGGTCTTCCTTTTCATAAATATCTTTGCACTTAGAAATTGATCTTGCACATATTACAGGTTTATGAAAATATTTCCCAGATATTGATATCTAATGTTATACGAGAGGATAATTCCTTTCTCCCCTGTTTAAACAGCTATAACAAGCTACTGCAAGAGCCCGAGATTGTTGAGGGCAACGCAAAGCAGAGCTGTCTTCTTTTATTCACTTGATTTGTCTTTCTTCTTTTTTTTGATGTTTTTATCAGTCTTTATACTTTGTGTGATTTTCTTTTTCTTTAAATTACAGATGTACTTCTATGCATACTATGTGTTTCAAGAAGCTGGGATTCAAGCTGAAAAAATCCAGTATGCAGCCATTGGGACAGGATCCTGTGAGTTTATTGCAGCTGTAACATGCGTGAGTGTTTGAAAGTGTGCGGCTTATTTATGAATAAAGTAACATGCATTACAGGTGAAGGGAATAATCTGCGTAATGTTCTGGCACTGGAAATCCATCTTTAGCTAAATGGCTTAATGTAAGAAAATCCTTCCATCCATGTGCTTTGTCCGATACAGGGTCATGGGGGTAGCTGGAGCCTACCCTGGCAAGCAGAGGGCGCAAGGCTGGGTACTCCCTGAATGAGACACCAGTCAGTCACAGACACATGACGCACACACTGACACCAGGGACAGTTTTCCCAGAAGCCAGTTAACCTACCAGCAGGGTTATGAATTGTGGGAGGGAGCCGGAGCATCCGGAGGAAAAATAAGTCAACACAGGGAGAACATACAAACTCCAGGCCGATAGCACCCCAGGGCCCCAGAACTGCGAGACAGCAATGCCAACCAGGGCACCACTGTGCCACCCCGGTGGAAGATAATCTCCCTGTCAGTATTTTTTTAAAGAACTGGAGCAAAGGAATCCAAATTGATGGGCGTGGTTTTATAATAATCAATAATTAATACGTTTTTAGCCCAGCAGATAAAAAGTAGGACGATCAGTTTTCCCATTTCCATTTACAAATAATCCTTTATAGTCATTTTGAATAATCAGACCTATTTTATTCAGTCCAATATTTTAATACAGAGTGTCAAAGTTTTAAACTTTGATGTTTACGACAGCAAGCACGGAACCGAGTGCACGCTAACGTTCACAGCGTCTGTTCGCCTGCCTGCCTGTTCACAGAGCCTGTGACTGCGAAGGAGAGTTTTGGAAACAATATGTTTTGGGGGTTATTTATTAATAATCCAATAATTAGGGATTCTGTCAACAGGAAAGCAGAACTCGCTTGCCCAAGACCAGGGCAGTGTTTCGACTGTGAAAATCTCTTTTCTTCTCAGAACCTGCTGATCGAGAGGCTGGGCAGGAAGGTTCTGATCATGGGCGGGTATCTGCTCATGGCGTGCTGGGCTGTGGTGTTCATGGTGACACTCGCACTCCAGGTAGGAGCCACAGTACCTGCTCACTGCTGGCAACAGAAGACTCTTAACAAAAGAAAAAACTCTTGGCTGTTACAGAACTGTACCAATTAAAAGCTCAGCCAGTGGACGGCTTCTCAGTTTGTGTGTTATATATTTTATTCTAATATTTTAGTGTGTTTTACTCAAGTGATATTTACATATTTCGAATTAATTATTGAGGGATG